TGTCGCCCAGGCTGGAGTGCAGTGGCCGGATCTCAGCTCACTGCAAGCTCCGCCTCCCGGGTTTACGCCATTCTCCTGCCTCAGCCTCCCGAGTAGCTGGGACTACAGATGCTCGCCACCTCGCCCGGCTATTTCTTTTGTATTTTTTACTAGAGACGGGGTTTCACCGGGTTAGCCAGGATGGTCTTGATCTCCTGACCTCGTGATCCGCCCGTCTCGGCCTCCCAAAGCGCTGGGATTACAGGCTTGAGTCACCGCGCCCGGCCTCTCTAGACATTTTAGAAATGATGAGATACTCTGAAAATAAAGTTAATTTTAAGTTCTTATTATTTATAACCTTATTACTCAAAGTGTGGCCTGTGGACTGGGAACACCCAGCATTACCTGGGAACTTGTTGGAAATACAGAATATTGAGTCTTACCCCAAACCTACTGAATCAGAGTCCAAGGTTTTTTATTTTTTTTTTGAGACAGAGTCTCGCTCTGTCGCCCAGGCTGGAGTGCAGTGGCGCGATCTTGGCTCACCACAAGCTCTGCATCCCGGGTTCACGCCATTTTGCTGCCTCAGCCTTCCGAGAGCTGGGACTTAAAGGCGCCCGCCACCATGCCCAGCTAATTTGTTTATATTTTTGGTAGAGACGAGGTTTCACTGTGTTAGCCAGGATGGTCTCGATCTCCTGACCTCATGATCCACCTGCCTCGGCCTCTCAGAGTGCTGGGATTACAGGCGTGATCCACTGCGCCCAGCCCAGAGTCTGTGTTTTAACAAGATTCCCATATAATGCACATTAACATTTGAGAAGTGCTTGTTTGAAAGGTGAATTTGTTAGCTGTGCATTAAGAAGGAGGGAGAATGAAAACAAATAAAAAATAAGATGTTAGAGTTCCCTAAAAGGGGAGTATCTGAGTTTTCTGAGAGTAGGTCAGTCATAATCTTTGTTTTTCCCAAGATTTGGGACTTAGAGAATTCAGCAGATAGACAGTTGAATAGTACAATGTGATAGGATACAATTAAAGATTGATGCTGTTGTGTTCAAGAAAAAATAGGCTTTTCTTAGTTGATGATGGAGCGGAGGAATAGTCGTGTCTAGCTTCTGACCTGGGAAATGGCAAGAGGGCTCTGGGGGCCTGGAATTCCTAGGGAATGGGAGATATCAATAGGGACCAGTACCGAGCTGACACATGTCTGTGTTTGCCAGTGACGCTGCCCGCCACCATCATGACGTCATCCGTGCCCACAACTGTGGGTGGCCACATGATGTACCCTAGCCCGCATGCGGTGATGTATGCCCCCACCTCAGGCCTGGGTGATGGCAGCCTCACCGTGCTGAATGCCTTCTCCCAGGCACCATCTACCATGCAGGTGTCCCACAGCCAGGTCCAGGAGCCAGGTGAGTAGAGGAACAGGGCTAAGGAAAGGAGGACCGTTTCCTTCCTTATACACACACACACACGCACACACACGTATGCACTGATGCCTACAAATATTTCTACCCAAATACAACACAGACTTGGATGCTTACATACACATTTGGACACCCATGCACACTTGAACACTCACACCCACATGCACCCTCAGACACTGGCACCCTTTCCCTTGGCCTCTTACATCTGAGACTCCCCCGGTCACTTGTGCATTTGTCACCACTCCTCTAATATCTGGAAGTTTCAACAAACAATTTGAGTATCTCCTGTGGTTTTCCAATGTAGGTGGCGTCCCCCAGGTGTTCCTGACAGCATCATCTGGGACAGTGCAGATCCCTGTTTCAGCAGTTCAGCTCCACCAGGTAGGCAGGGATATCTTTCACCCCATCCCAGATAGCCACTTCTTTGTCTTGACCTTGGGGGATCCTGTTACCAGTTCATCAAAGCCAAAATCCCTAGCCTGGAAGCCCATCTGCTTTTCTGCTCAGGCCGGTGGTTGGCAGGCAGGGAAGCCAGGGGAGCCTGAGCTGGCTGGCCAGTCCCTGCCTCTCCTCATTCACCCCCTTCCCTCCAGATGGCTGTGATAGGGCAGCAGGCCGGGAGCAGCAGCAACCTCACCGAGCTACAGGTGGTGAACCTGGACACCGCCCACAGCACCAAGAGTGAATGATCCGCCCGCCGCCCTGGACAGATGGCCCAAGGGACGGCACCACTTATTTATTGTTGCCTTTTCACGTTTTCTTTATACACACGTTGACGGGCCGCAGGAGGGAGGCGGGGAGGAGGAACGGGCAGCCACAGGACTGAGCCCTCTCACTCCAGCCAAAGAAATGGGCCTGCCTGCCTCCACCCGTCCTCCCTCAGCCTCCCCTTCTTCCCGCCCCACCTCCCATTTCTGTTGCTGGAGGGGCCATCCTCCTTCCTGGGACCCCCTCGCCAGCTTGGCTCGATGTTTGCCATGAGTATTAGCTTACCCAATGGGACCGTGCCCTGCCTCCCCACACACAGGCCTTCTGTGGGGCTGGGCACTGTGTCCTCCTCTGAAGAAGCAGTTGGGGCCCTCTTGCTAGCCTCCTTGCTGACCCCAGGTCAGCCCTGTGTCTGCCACAGGCTGGGTCAAAAGAGCCCTGCCCCTGCCCCTCAGGGGGCCAGCTGGGGAGACAGGGGCTTCTTCCCTCACACTGCTGCCCTCTGCCCCTTCAGTTCCTGAGTAGCTGGGCCTGTGCACTGGGCAGGTTCCTGGGGCTGCCTGCCCTGCCTTGCCGCTCCCCTTGGACCTCCAGGGGATCCTGGGTTGGAGGGAACCACCAGCGTTCCCTTCTCCCCCTTGTCTTCCCCCCTCTCCTCCCAGCTGCTTTACTTAAAGTTGATTTTGAACTTTTTATTTGAGGAGACGAAGTGAAAACAAATCTATAAATATATATTTTTAAAATATTTAACTTTTTTTTATGGCGTTTTTCTCGTCCCCCTCCCTGCCCAAACTCCCCTTCCCTGGGGAGCCCAAGGGCTCCCCAGAACTGGCTGGGCCCCTGGGGGCAGAGCCACCCCACGAGCTCGGGGTCCGCCAGTGTGTGGGGGAGATTCTGGGTTTGCCCAGTCCTGGGTTGTTTCCAGGAGAAAGCCGGGGGAGGGGCCCTCAGGCCATGCCCCAACGGGGTGGGGAGGGTGACCCACAGCTCTGGGCCTCTTTTTGCCCTTTAGGGCTGTTGCTAGGGAGAGGGAAGAGGGAGACCAAATGTCGGGGTGGGGGTGGGAGGGTGTCAGGCGGAGGCAACTGACTTCATTTGTGCCACACGCATGGGCATTGCAGCCTTGTGCTGTCCCAGGCCTGCAGCTGCCTGGGGCCCAAGTTGCAGTGAGCAGGGTGGGGTCTGGGAGGGGGTGAGAGGCAGGAATGGGGGTCAGAAGAAGTGGGAGCAGCTCTTGGGCTGAATGCAGCCAAAGGGGAGCCAGAAATGGGCAGCTCTCCCAGGGAGTGAGCAGCTACTGTAACTTTTTTAAATTAAGACAAAAAGCCTTGAAGAAAATGAATTTATTTTTCTAAGTGTAACCTCAGTATTTATGTAATTTGTACAGGGGCCATGCCCCACCCCCCTCCTCCCCCTTTGGGGTAGACCTTGAGGGTGGGCCAGCATAGGGGGGAGGGTCTTTTACCCTGTGTCAGAGCCTACCTTCACCACCTATATCCAGAAAGGGAGCTTTTTCAGAAACGGGGCAGCAGTGGGGTGAAATTTTCTTAACCCCAAGACTGCCTTCAGTAGGAACAAGCTGGCTTCTGTGATTAGGTGAAGGGGTGGGGGAAGATTTTACGCACAGCCTAGTTATCAAGGGGATGATTTGCCGACATGTTTGAGAACCCCCTAACCTCTAACCCTCATTGCTGTCTTGCCCCAGTTTGGGGTGCCAAGATGGAAGTCACCTTTCTGGGCTTTCTCCTGGAGATAGCTGGGGCTTATGGGTGGCTTTCAAGGCTGGGGCATGGCAAATCAGGGGCCAGAGAGCAGGGGAGCTTGGGACTCAGGTCTGTAACTGCCCAGCCCCTTTTCTCTGCTCTTGTTTCACTCCACCACCACTCACTCACTCCCTACTCCCCCACCCATGGGAGGAGACCTTTGATGAATTCTTCCTCTCCTTCCCACAGAAGACAGACCCCGTGAGTGAATCAGGCAAAGTGCTTATAATGTGTGTTGTGTGAGCGTGGCCTTGGGAGGACATACGTGTGTCAGGGATGAGTTGAGGTGGCATTTTTATGTGCAGCGACCCTTGGTGTTTCCCTTCCTCGGTGGCTCTGGGGTATGTGTGTGTGTGTGTGCCTGAGTGTGTGTGCGTGAATGTGAGTGTGTATGTCAGTGGTTTCTACTTCCCCTGGGATGCTGACCCAGGAATAGTGGACATGGTCACAGTCCTATGTACAGAGCTTTCTTTTGTATTAAAAAAAAAATACTCTTTCAATAAATGTATCATTTTTGTGCACAGACTGTGGGGTCTTTGGCTCTGTTTTTCTACTTAGGGAGGGACGGGGGTATGAACGCGAGGCAAACTCCTAAAATTGCTGCTCTGAGTAGCGAACCGGGCTGCTTGATGAGAACGGTAATGCTAAGGTGTGCTTTGGGCAGTTTAATTCTATACGATTTAATTTAAGGAATGTTTTGCGGGGGGCCGCGGACCTTCTCCCTGTGCGTGGTTTTGCTAGGTGTTAAGGCCAACGCAGAGGAGCAATTATAATTAACAGGAAAAGTGACACAACTAATTCAAAGCATTGCTAAAGGGTTTGGGAAACTCATGGGCACGTGACCTACTGAAAAGTCAGAAAGGACAGCCTTAAGGTGGGAGTGTGCGTTACTATGTTGCGTCAGCATGATCGCTGTGATGGGAGAGGGAGGATTAGGAGAGCCGACCCAGTGAAGAGGAGGGGGCTTCTTCCTGCTAAGAGAGGAGCAACGTGACCTCGATCCCGGGCTCCGCCGGGAGCGCGCCCCCACGACCCTCTCCCCATACAGCCGCCGCGGTAGCACGCATGCTCCACTAGCGCGCTGTTCCGCCACGCTCGGCGTGGGCCGCGGTGGGACCCGTAGGTGCCTGGCCGTGCGTGCAGTCGCCGTGTGACCCGGAAGGGAGCTCTGAAGAGGCGGGGCCAGGACGGCGGGACCGGCCGCTGGGTCCCAGCGAGGGCTGAGCCGGGCGGTGGGAGGTGAGAGGAGAGTTCTGCGCCGACCCGGTCCCTCCCCTTCTCCTGTCTCCTCCCCGGTTCTTTAGCCACTGTCCATGGGGCTGACGAAGGGAACGAGGTCTTGCTCTCTGAGATTCACTGGATCTTTTCAGCTTCTTTGAGCCGCGCCCCCAAACATCCTCCCCCCTCCCCCCAACCTGTTCCCTCTGCAGTGCTGGCCTCCTCCACGGCTCTGCAAGCTTGGGCTTGACCTTGCTATCTGCTGGTCTCATCCCTGCGTCCAGACCTCACCCCCACACCTCAGTTCACTGTTGCTCTCCTAGGCCCACATTACATCCCCCCACCTCCTCCTATCCGATTGTTTTACTTCCCCCTGCTGCTAATCAGTTGCCCGCTGGCACATCGCTGGTTACCATCCAGGCTTGCCCCCCATCCTAAGTGGACCCCTACTTCCATTGAGGTCCACATCCTTCTTTCTCCCTCCTCTTCACTTCTACTCTAATCTTCTGTCCCTGTACCCCAACATGGCCCCTGCCCTGACCACCCATATCTTCATCTGGGTTTACCTTCTTCCATTCTTATTCTCACTATTCCCTGTTGCTCCTGCACTGCTTCATATCACTCGTATCTTTCCTGATCATTCCACTCCCATTTATAATCGGTCTTAATAACTTTGCATTTATTTGATGACTCCCCTACCTTCTCCATCTAAGAATAATAATAGATTATGTTTACTGAACACTCATGTGCTAGATGCTGTTCCAAGTGCTTTACATACATGATGTTTTTTAAATTCATGAAGTAACTATGAATATTACTACCATCTTGCAGAAGAGGAAACAAGCTCAGAGGTTAAGTAACTTGTTCCAAACTATGCAGACAGTGAGACAAAGAGCCAGAATTCAGAGTCACATTTATCTGACACTAAAATCTCTGAATATTGCTTCTTTCCTGACCTCATTTCCTACCTTTAACCCAGTGATTGCCACCTCTATCTTATCTGCCTGACTTACTTAGATCTTTACCATACATACAGCATAAGTGCAGGGTGGGACCTGGTCATCTTTCCCATCATTTTATCTGGTCCCTAGGGCCCTCCCCCTTTCACAAGACTTGAAAACACTTTTCCTATCCAGTCATTTGCCCCAACATCCCAGCCTTTTGTCATCTCTGTTCTCTGTATCTGCCATGGCCCACCCTTTACATCCACCTTGCAGCTTTACTCTGTCATTTATGCTCCTTGTTGTGCCCCTCCGCTGTCCTACTTTTCCTCACATGTTCTGACCCCACTGCCTCTCATGCTGCTGTGCTTCCTGTCCACCCATGTCATCCTTCTAAGTCCTAATCTGTAACCCTCAGCCACCCTGCTATCCTGCCTAAACTATCTTGCTTAACTGTCACTGCTTATTGTTACCTTGCCTATTATTCTTTTCATTATCTTTTTGTAAACTCCCCTTCCTCCCTTCCTCCCTTCCTTTCTTCCTTTCTTCCTTTCTTTTTTGACAGAATCTCGCTCTGTTGCCCAGGCTGGAATGCAGTGGTGCGGTCTTGGCTCACTGCAACCTCCGCCTCCTGGGTTCAAGTGATTCTCCTGCCTCAGCCTCCTGAGTAGCTGGGACTACAGGCATATGCTACCACACCTGGCTAATTTTTGTATTTTTAGTAGAGATGGGGTTTCACTGTGTTGACCAGGCTGGTCTTGAACTCCTGACCTCGTGATCTGCCCACCTTGGCCTCCCAAAGTGCTGGGATTATAGGCGTGAGCCACCGGGCCCAGCCAACTCTTCCATTTCTTAAATCTCTTCATCCCCTCACTGTCTTCACTCCATTCTCCTTCTGTTATAAATCCCAAAGTATGTTCAGCTATTTATTCCATCCTATTTTTTGCCTTTTCTGTTTGGCCTCCTAAATTCTACCATGCAGCCTACCGATCACCACCCACCTTCTCTGTGTCTCAAGATTCCACCCCCTCTGTATTTTTTTTTATTTTCTCATACTGCCTTATCTTTCTCCTTATGTATCCCAGGAGGTCAGGATGGTTGGGGAACGGCATGCTGGGGACCTCATGGTGCCTTTAGGGCCTCGGCTGCAGGCATATCCTGAAGAACTCATTCGACAGAGGCCTGGGCATGATGGGCATCCTGAATACCTGATCCGATGGAGTGTCCTGAAGTGTGGGGAAGTGGGCAAAGTGGGTGTGGAAGAAGGCAAAGCAGAGCACATCCTCATGTGGCTGTCAGCTCCTGAGGTCTACGCCAACTGCCCTGGGCTGTTAGGTGAGCGGGCACTATCTAAGGGACCTCAGCACGAACCAGCTGGGGTTTCAGGAAGCTTTCCTCGAGATCCAGGAGGCCTGGATGAAGTGGCAATGGGAGAGATGGAGGCTGATGTGCAGGCGCTGGTACGCAGGGCAGCCAGGCAGCTGGCAGAAAGTGGGACCCCAAGCCTCACGGCTGCTGTGCTCCACACCATCCATGTGCTCAGTGCCTACGCCAGCATCGGGCCCCTCACTGGTGTCTTCAGGGAGACAGGAGCCCTGGACCTGCTCATGCACATGCTGTGCAATCCTGAGCCTCAGATCCGCCGGAGTGCAGGCAAAATGCTGCAGGCTCTGGCAGCCCACGATGCTGGTAAGAGACAGCCAGGGAAGAAGGAAAACAATGGAGAATGGGGCCACAGGGAGTAAGAACAGAAAGAGGAGAGATTTCCTAGCTCTGTAAGAACACCTAGTATTTGGTGAATATCAATTTGATGCAAAGGAAAAATACAGATTCATAGGCTATTTCAGGTATATAAAGAGGCTAAAATGATAGCCTCTGGCTTATCTGTTCATTCTCAGTGCATTGACCAGAGAAGAGAATAGGATTTATCTGTATTTTTGAAACTGGATTGAGATTTATTAGTTGGTTTTGAAATCAATTTGGTGGGTTACAACCAACATTTTTTAAAAAACTTAAGTCATTAGTGTGTAGCACTTAGTAGGGGTAAATTTTGTACCATAAAATATGTTTCAGTTATATGTATGTATGTTTGTAACAGGTTACCATGTAAAACATATTTCTTGCTGTAAGTCTTAGTAACAAAGTTTGAAAGCCTCTGGGATAGGAGATAGAATCTAGGAAAGGCAGGGAGAAAGTACTGGGGATTGAGGAGAAGATACGGATTGGGTATGGATTACAGGGAGTCGGGCTCACGTCCTTCTGTCACTGAGCCAGCAAGATGGCATCGAGCAGCACATGGATTTTGACAGTCGCTATACATTGCTGGAGCTGTTTGCAGAAACCACATCCTCTGAAGAACACTGCATGGCCTTTGAGGGCATTCATCTGCCTCAGGTACACTACCAGCTGTAGGGAAATGCTGTGTACAAGGGCTGAGGCATTATTTCTGAAAACGTGGTTCAGGACTGAATGTTAGCACCAGAGCCATCTGGGAACTTGTTAACATGAAGGTTCATGTCCTCCCTCTCAGCCCCTCTCCATTCAGAATTTCTGAGATGAGAACCCAGAAATCTGTGTCTTAAGACACTCCCTGTGCCTTTCTTACACAAATCAAAGTTGGAGAACTACAGGCCTGGGGAGAAGGCCTTTATATTTTTCTGTAGAGGAGGATACTGGGGGGAAAGGGAGAGGCTAAAGCCAGGAAGAGATGAACCTGTCCCAAGTATTGTGTCTTACAGATCCCAGGAAAGCTGCTCTTCTCCTTGGTGAAGCGCTACCTTTGTGTCACCTCCCTCCTGGATCAGCTGAATAACAGTCCAGAGCTGGGAGCTGGAGACCAAAGCTCCCCATGTGCCACAAGAGAGAAAAGCCGGGGACAGCGGGAGCTGGAGTTCAGCATGGCTGTGGGCAATCTCATCTCTGAGCTTGTGCGGAGCATGGGCTGGGCCCGGAACCTCAGCGAACAGGGCATGTCACCTCCCCGGCCAACCCGGTCCATCTTTCAGCCCTACATTTCAGGCCCCAGCCTTTTACTCCCCACCATTGTCACCACCCCCAGAAGACAAGGGTGGGTCTTCCGCCAGCGCTCTGAATTCTCCAGCCGTAGTGGCTATGGAGAATATGTGCAGCAGACGCTGCAGCCGGGGATGCGAGTGCGGATGCTGGATGATTATGAGGAGATCAGTGCTGGGGATGAGGGCGAGTTCCGGCAGAGCAACAACGGCATTCCCCCTGTGCAGGTGGGCAGCACATGGTGGTGAGACACTGTTGGGAGTTTATTTGGGGTGGAGTATAGCTGGGACTTCATACAGCGGACTCCTGCAGGCCACCCAAGAAGAAACCCCCTTGGGGAATTGGAATGATACAAGGGGGTTGGCATTTGCGGGGGGTGCATTTGGAGGGCTGAGAAAATCTGGCAGGGTGTGGGGTGTGGGTGGACTGTAAGTTCATGGGAGACTCACCCAGGAAGCAGAACTGATAAATGGAGATACCTCCCCACCACCACCAGTGGAAGAGGCTAGGAAGGAGTGTGGAAGCAGAGAACATCATGGTTAAGAAGAGGCAGGGCCCACTCCTGATAAAGGAAGGAAGCCTTTTGCCATATGGGAGTTTTTCCAGGCTTAGCCAGCTGTGTATGTGAGGGTGCGCCCCAAATCTATGCTTGGGCATGTCCTTTCAAGCCTTCACAGGCCAAGGCTCAGATGGTTGAGCCTTCTCTATTCTGCCCTCTTTCTTCCTCCCTCATACCAGGTTTTCTGGCAGTCGACAGGCCGCACTTACTGGGTGCACTGGCACATGCTGGAGATCCTGGGCCCTGAGGAAGCCACTGAGGATAAGGCTTCAGCAGCTGTGGAGAAGGGGGCAGGGGCTACTGTGTTGGGCACAGGTGAGCCTAAGAGGGGACATGGATAGCATGTCTCTGAACAGAGGAGTAGTGACTGGGATGAAGCCACTTCTGACCAGGAGCAGTCCTAGGGGTCCAGAAACGGACCCCATTCCTGAGGGGTGCTGATCCCCACCATGCCTGTGTCCTCAGCATTTCCCTCCTGGGACTGGAATCCTATGGATGGGCTCTACCCTTTGCCGTACCTCCAGCCCGAACCTCAGAAGAATGAGAGAGTGGGATATCTGACCCAGGCTGAATGGTGGGAGCTGCTTTTCTTTATCAAAAAGTTGGACTTGTGTGAGCAGCAGCCAATTTTCCAGAATCTTTGGAAGAACGTGGATGAGGTATTATAGGCCTGAGATACCTGGGGATTTTCTAGTAGGGTTAGAGGTGGGATTCTCTAGAGGGAGTTTCAGATAGGGGATACCACTAGGGGGAGGCTGGAGCTAGAGGTTAGAGTTAGGAGAAGTCCTGCTGGGGGGTGGAGGCAAGTGCTGTGAGGGTTTAGTATGTAGAAGGTGTGGGGGCGTGGTGGGGAGTGATCACCCTTCCCGTTACTGACCCCAAGACCTTTGTGTCTGCTTATCTCTTAAACGTATACCCCTTCTGTTGACAGACCCTGGGTGAAAAGGCCCTAGGTGAGATCTCTGTGTCCGTGGAGATGGCTGAGAGTCTGCTGCAGGTTCTCAGTAGTCGATTTGAGGGCAGCACTCTCAATGACCTGCTCAACTCCCAGATCTACACCAAGTATGGGCTGCTGTCTGATGAACGAAGCAGCTCGTCTACTTCACGAAATCACTCCTGTACCCCAGATCCAGAAGAGGAGTCCAAGTCAGAGGCCAACTTCTCAGAGGAAGAGACTGAGTCCCCCAAAGCAAAGGCCGAGGCCCCTAAGACAGAGGCTGAGCCCACCAAGACAAGGACTGAGCCCCCCATGGCACAGAGTGATTCGCAGTTGTTTAACCAGCTTCTGGTGACTGAGGGGATGACCCTGCCCACTGAGATGAAGGAGTCAGCTAATGGTGAGTCAGGTTCTGGGAGGAAGCAATTGGAACAGGTCCTGGGTGGTCTCAGTAGAAGAAATGGATAGTCAGGATCGAAGGAAAACCATGGAAGGAGGTCATTTTTGCAGGGGAAAATGCCTTGGAACCATGTGTCCATCTTCTTCCTTTTGACCTTGATTGTATTTAATTAACCAGCGCTCCCTTCAGTATCTCTGGAAAAGGAGGGTCCTTTTTCTGTGGTGTCTTCATCTCCTTTGTTTGATCATTAGATCCCTGACACAGAATTGGAAAACCATGCAAGCTGCAGTAGCCGATAATGTATTTAAATATTGGTAGGATAACTGGGCTTGACTTTAAAGACTTCTAACTTCAAGGTGCCACAGTTCTTTTAGCCATTGCCTTTTCCCACCAATTTCAGAAATGGCCAGAGCCTTGCGGGGTCCCGGTCCTCGCAGCTCCCTGGATCAACATGTGGCAGCGGTCGTGGCCACTGTGCAGATATCCAGCTTGGACACAAACCTGCAGCTTTCAGGGCTCTGTGCCCTCTCTCAGGCTGTGGAGGAGGTCACTGAGCGGGATCACCCTCTGGTCCGTCCTGACAGATCACTGAGGTTAGCATATTGGGGAGGGAAGAGGTTTTGGTTGAAGCTGTAGGCAAAGGATGGTGGTAGAGGGGAAGGAGCTTTGAGATCACGAATTAGAAAAGCTGGGGATGAGGGAAGGCTCAGCCTGAGGAGCAGCCGAGCAGGAAGGAAGGTTGGATGTTTTAATGGCTCGTATTCTTGGAGCACTTCTGTTATGCCAGGCACTATGCTAGTATTTTTTTTTTTTTGAAACGTAGTCTTGCTCTGTCACCCAGGTTGGAATGCAGTGGCCGGATCTCGGCTCACTGCAAGCTCCGCCTCCCGGGTTTACGCCATTTTCCTGCCTTAGCTGGGACTACAGGTGCCCACCACCTTGCCCGGCTAGTTTTTTGTATTTTTTAGTAGAGACGGAGTTTCACCGTGTTAGCCAGGATAGTCTCGATCTCATGACCTCGTGATCCGCCCGTCTCGGCCCCCAAAGTGCTAGGATTACAGGCTTGAGCCACCACGCCCGGCCAGTGCTAGTATTTTACGTGCATTCTCTCATTAAATCCACCTAACATCGGAGGAAACGTTGGTAATATTTATCCTATTGTATGGGTGAGGAAACTGAAGCTTAGAGAATGTAAGTAACTTGCTTAGAGTTTTACAGATAGCAGAGCCAGGATTCAAACCTAGGTCTTTTTGGCTCTAGAACTGGAGTTTTTTTCTCTTTCTTTTTCTTTTTTTTCTGTCCCTTACTTTTTTTTTTTTTTTTTTAACACATTAAACCTTAAAACCTACTTTATTTTAAAAGTTTTTTCTACTTTTATTTATTTAATTAATTTATTAATTTATTTTTGAGACGGAGTCTTGCTATGTCGTCATGCTGGAGTGCAGTGGTGCGATCTTGGCTCACTGCAACCTCTGCCTCCCGGGTTTGAGGGATTCTCCTGCCTCAACCTCCTGAGTAGCTGGGATTACAGGCACGTGCCACCATGCCCAGCTAATTTTTGTACTTTTAGTAGAGACGGGGTTTCACCATGTTGGCCAGGATGGTCTCAATCTCCTGACCTCATCATCTGCCCGCCTCGGCCTCCCAAAGTGTTGGGATTACAAGCGTGAGCCACCACGTCCAGCCCTCTACTTTTAAATTATACAAATAACACGCAACGTATTCTCATTTTATTTATTTATTTATTTTTATTTATTTCCTTGTTTTTGAGACACAGTCTCACTCTGTCACCCAGGCTAGAGTGCAATAGTGTGATCTTGGCTCACTGCAACCTTTGCCTCCTAGGTTCAAGCAGTTCTTATGTCTCAGCCTCCCAAGTAGCTGGGATTACAGGTGCCCACCACCATGCCTAGCTAATTTTTGTATTTTAGTAGAGACGAGGTTTCACCATGTTGGCCAGGCTGGTCTCGAACTCCTGACCTCAGATGATCCAGCCTCCCAAAGTGCTGGGATTACAGGTGTGAGCCACCATGCCCAGCTGGATTCTCGTTTTAAAAGATCTGAAGAATGTAAAAACATAGGAAGGCCGAAGTCCTTTCTCACCACTGTTAATCAGTCTACTATATCCTATAGATTTGCATTTGTAATTGTGTGTTTCGAAATAGAGCATTTTCTGAGTCTGTGCTTTAGTCTGTGTAATCACATTCTACATGGTTCTACAACTTTTTTTTTTTTGCCCTCACTCAGTGCCTTAGAGGGCTTTCCATATCAGTCTGCGTGGAGCTGCCTCATTATGTTTATTGCTGCATAGGACCCTGCAGTGTGGTTATCTCCAATTTCAAGTGCAGTGTTCTAATGGGTCTGTTTTTCCTTAACATCTGCCAACACTGAATATTGTCTTGTTTTTAAATCTGTCTAATTGGCAGCATTTTAAATGATTGGTATCTCTGTTTTAGTTACCTAGTTCTGGTAAAGTTAGGCATATTTGCATACATTTGTTCTGTTTTTTTTTTTTTTTTTCCTGTAAATATTCTGTTCTTATCCTTTGCCCACTTTTTAATTGGATCTTTGCCTTTTTTAATGTATTTATAGGAATTTTGGTTATTCCTTTGTTATTTATGTTCCAAATATTTTGCTTGTCTTTTTTTTTTTTTTGAGACGGAGTCTAGTTCTGTCGCCCAGGCTGGAGTGCAGTGGCGCGATCTCGGCTCACTGCAAGCTCTACCTCCTGGGTTCACGCCATTCTCCTGGCTCAGCCTCCCGAGTAGCTGGGACTACAGGCGCCCACCACCGCGCCCGGCTAATTTTTTGTATTTTTAGTAGAGACGGGGTTTCACTGTGATCTCGATCTCCTGACCTCGTGATCCACCCGCCTCAGCCTCCCAAAGTGCTGGGATTACAGGCGTGAGCCACCGCGCTTGCTTGTCTTTTAAAAAATCATATTAGCTTTATTTTGTGGTTATAGAATAATACATACTCAGAGTAAAAAAGTTAGAAAATTATTAAAATAAAAATTATCTGATCATATTCAAGTGAGATTGACAGAAAAAAATCTGAAAGCCATTAAGGCAGAGACAATCACTGTTAACATGTGGGTAAACATCCTTATATATTTCTGTATCTATTCATATGTATTACCCATGTATATTGTCTAGTATATAAGAAATCATGGCCATGGAAGGGGATATGTATTTAAAGCCTATTTCACACTGTTGTCATTATAAAACTTCTTAGAAAAGATAGATTAAAAGCAGAACTTTCTCAGTACCTTTATTTGCCTTCTTTCCCAGAAGTTCTCCTTCTGTGTTTTTTCCCCTCATAGTTCCCAAGCCACCTCCTCAGTTGGCGTCGCTGTCACTGTTAAGCAACAGTCAATACCTGCTATTTTCTCTCCTGACCCTCACCCTGATCTAGGGACTCTAGAGGCACTTCTTCCTCGTCTCTTAGATCAGCATTTCCACTGGCACCTTTGTCTAGCTCCTGCGCTTGTCTCGTAATTTTGTGTATAGTGTTTTTTTCATCATGCTAGAGTTTCAGACTGTTTGTTGCTACATTTTTCAGCTTTTTTATGGCTTCTAGACTTTGTGTCCTACTTAAAAAGATCTATTCTGTTCCGGGATTATAAAAATATTTCCCTATATTTTCCAAAAATACCCATGATTTTGTATTTTTAAAATTCATTTAAAAATTAATTTGCAGTTTATTTTTGCAAATGTTGTGAAGTAGAGCTCCAGCTTCAGTGTTTTCATATGGATAGCCAGGTATCTCTAAATTGCATTGTGTGTGTGTGTGTGTATATGTGTGTTTTGTTTTGTTTTTTTTTTAGAGACAGGGTCTCAGTCTGTTGACCAGGCTGGAGTGCAGTAGCAAGATCACATAGCTCACACAGCCTCAAACTCTTAGCCTCTAGCAAACCTCCTTCCTTATCCTCTCAAGTAGCTGGGACTACAGGAATGAGCCACCACACCCAGCTAATTTTTTTTTTTTTTGTAGAGATGGAGTCTCACTATGTTGCCCAGGCTGGTTTCAAACTCTTGGCCTCAAGCAATCCTCCCACCTCAGTCAACATTACCTTTTGTTTAATTAGTTATTTTGAGACAGAGTCTTGCTTTGTCGCCCAGACTGGAGTGCAGCGGTGCAATTCTTGGCTCACTGCAACCTCCGCCTCCTGGGTTCGAGCGATTCTCCTGCCTCAGCCTCCAGAATAGCTGGGATTTCAGGCCCACGCCACCATGCCTGGCTAAATTTTGTATTTTTAGTAGAGATGGGGTTTCACCATGTTGGCCAGGTTGGTCTCGAACTCCTGGCCTCAAATGATCCAACTACCTCAGCTTCCCAAAGTGCTGGGATTACAGGTGTGTGTCACTGTGCCCACACAACATTATATTTTAAATGGTTTTTCCTTTTTTTTTTACTGGCTTGTATACCACCCTTATCTCTCATCTATTGATCTATTTAGCTACCCTATATCAGTTCCAGGGTTGCAGTTATTACAAGTTTATATTTATATTTTGATAATAATAGGCAAGTCTACCACTTTTTTTTTTTTTTTTTTGAGACAAGGTCTCACTCTGTCAACCAGGCTGGAGTACAGTGACATGATCACAGCTTGCTGCTGCCTCGACCTCCTAGGCTCAGGTGATCCTCCCACCTCAGCCTCGCAAGTAGCTGAGACTACAGGTACAGGCCACTATGCCAGATAATTTTTTGTAGAGATGGAGTTTTGCCATGTTGCCCATGGCAAAAGCCATGGGCTCAAGCGATTCGCCCACCTCAGCCTCCCAAAGTGCTGGGAGTACAGTCATGAGCTCCTGCGCCTGGCTACCACTATTTTTTTCTGAACATTTCCAAGGCCTGGATCTGCCTGTCACAGTGTTTTTAAAAACATTTTAGGCCAGCACTTTGGGAGGCCAAGGCAAGTAGACTGCTTGAGGCCAGGAGTTCGAGACCAATCTGGCCAACATAGCGAAACCCCGTCTCTACTGAAAAACAATACAAAAAATTAGCAGGATGTGGTAACACGCACCTGTAGTCCCAGCTACTCGAGAGGCTGAGGCTTGAGAATCACTTGAACCTGGGAGGTGGAGGTTGCAGTGAGCTGAGATTGTGCCACTGCACTCCAGCCTGGCAACAGAGCAAGACTCCATCTCAAAAACAGACAAACAAAACCACCTTTTAGGCATTTTGATTAGCATCACTTTGAATTTATAGATTTATTTGAAAAGATGAGCCAGAGTTTGTAAACATTTTTTCTACTGCCTCCTTCATTAGTTGAGGAGCCACAGGCAGTTTGGCTGCAGAGGGGAGGGGATTGGGGTGAGACTGGAGCAAGGAGAGCAGGTTTGGGTGGGGCAGAGAGGATGGACTAGCTCTCGGTGGATGGGATTGGTCAGGGAATCCGATGATGCCATGGCTGGGAGGTCAGGCAAGACTCCTTGGGATGGGGAGCCCCAGTGTCTCTTCTCTTGTCAGAGAGAAGCTAGTGAAGATGCTGGTGGAGCTGCTGACCAACCAGGTGGGAGAGAAGATGGTGGTGGTGCAGGCCCTGCGCCTCCTTTACCTGCTCATGACCAAGCACGAGTGGCGACCGCTCTTTGCCAGGGAGGGTGGCGTCTATGCTGTACTGGTCTGCATGCAAGAATATAAGACTTCTGTCTTGGTGCAGCAGGCTGGGCTGGCGGTGAGTACATTGGGCCTGGTGGGAGAGAACAGTGGGCAAGACAGGCAGATTGGGGACTACTGATCTTGAGGAAATACTTTGGTGCTTCAGACCAGTGAGTAGATTTTGGAATGGAAAGATGGAGATGGATTTAAGAGTTTGATCCGGACATTCTTGGGGATTGAGTGTTTGGAAAAAGGAAAAAGGGAGTTTTGGAGTTATTTTTGGTGGAGACAGGATCTTGCTATGTCGCCCAGACTGATCTTGAACTCCTGGGCTCAAGTGATCCTCCCACCTCAGCCTCCCAAAGTGCTGAGATTATAGGCATGAGCCACTGTGCCAGGCCAGGAGGCTTTTTGTTTGTTTGTTTGTTTGTGACAGAGTCTCTCTCTGTTGCCTAGGCTGGAGTGCAGTGGCGCTGTCTCAGTTCACTACAACCTCCACCTCCTGGGTTCAAGTGATTCTCTTGCCTCAGCCTCCTGGGATTACAGGCATGAGCCACCATGCCCGGCCCAGGCCAGGGTTAAGAATGACTCCCAGGTGTAAAATTAAGCAGCAGGGTTGCATGAAGTGGCCGTTTACTGAAAGAGAATGTGGCAGGAGGAGGAGATATGGGGAGAAGGTCAGGAGTTGAGTTTTCAGGTATGTTGAGTGTTCCTGCCTTTTTAGTTATGATTAGGTGTCTGGTTAAAAACTAATTTTCTAGATGTGACCAAAAAGTTTTTTTTTCTCCTCTTTTATCCAAGTGGCGCCCTTATGTAGAAAATACTCTGTTACTAGATTTGGGTAAAACAAAGCCAGCATTGCCATTGCCCAGAGAATCGGGAAGGAAGGCCCTTATCCAGAGTAGCTTACAGAAGAATTGGCTTACTGGTTACTCCAGACAGAAGTGCTGGCCGGTAGGGTGGTGCAGGCAGAAGAGCTCTGTATAGCCTGAGGGTTCCTGAGGGAGACAGGCAGGCTTTGGCCAGAGCAGTTCTGAGAATGTATTCCAGTAGTATAATGGCAGCAGCATGAACGGGAGCACATGTCCTCTTAGAGCGGGCTGTCCTGGGAGAGGCCAGGAGGCTCCCTTCCATTACCTTCCCTCCTGTTCCCTCTCCTCCTGTCCCCTCCCCTCCCGTCCTCTCTCCTCCTGTCTCCTCCCCTCCCCTCCCCTCCTCCCCTCCCTCCCTCCCTCCTCCCCTCCCTCCCTCCCTCCCTCCCTCCCTCCCTCCCTCCCTTCCTTCCTTCCTTCCTTCCTTCCTTCCTTCCTTCCTTCCTTCCTTCCTTCTTTCCTTCCTTCCTTCCTTTCCTTCCTTTCCTTCCTTTCCTTCTTTTTTTTTTTAACGGAGTCTTGCGCTGTCGCCCAGGCTAGAGTGCAGTGGCGCGATCTCAGCTCACTGCAACCTCTGCCTCCCAGGTTCAAGCGATTCTCCCATCTCAGCCTCCTGAGTAGCAGGGATTACAGGTGCGTGCCACCATGCCCAGCTTAATTTTTTGTATTTTTAGTAGAGACGGGGTTTCACCATGTTGGCCAGGATGTCTTGCTCTCCTGAGCTCATGATCCTCCCGCCTCGGTCTCCCAAAGTGCTGGGATTACAGGTGTGAGCCACCACATCCAGCCTGGGGGTACTTTTCTTTATGGGACCAAGAGCAGCCAGTCATTCATAGTCTAGACCATCATGCTCAAAGAATTCCCTGATCCTCTGAAATTACATGACCAAAACATAGCAATTGCCATCCACTATAGATCATGGCAAAAAAAATAAATAAATAAAAATGGCTGGGTGTAGTGGCTCACGCCTGTAATTCCAGCGCTTTGGGAGACCAAGGTGGGTGGAACACCTGAGGTCTGGAGTTCAAGACCAGCCTGGCCAACATGGTGAAACCCTGTCTCTACTAAAAACACAAAATTAGCCGGGCATGATGGTGCATGCCTGTAATTCCAGCTACTTGGGAGGCTGAGGCGAGAGAATTGCTTGAACCCAGGACAGGGAGGTTGCTGTGAGCTGAGATCGCGCCATTGCACTCCAGCCTGGGTGACAGAGTGAGACTTCATCTCAAAAAAATCTTGCCCTGAAATAAAATTATGTCATCTTGTTAATAACTTAAAGTCTACAGAACTCAGCTAACTGGGGCAGGGTGGTGTAACTACAGGGAGAAAGCTTCATTGAGAAGTAGAAGTCTTGGAGGGTCCAGGCCTTACAAGAGGGATTGTCCTGAGAATTATTTCTAGCCCAGTCCATCTCTCGTGGGTTTCTTGTAGAAAATCAACCCTTTCACCAGGAGAGACAATTTCTGCTGTGATTGTGCAGTATCTATTTTAATTTAATTTTTCTCTATAGTCCCAGCAAACAGGTTTACACGTTACAATAATTTTTCCTATAATGCCAACCACTGCCTGTGAGACAACCAGGAAGTCTTGTCTAGAAGGGCTGGATACTGGCTAAGGCCAGGAGACACAGGTTTTGGAGACTTGGCGTATAGGTGGTAATTGAAGCAATGGGAATGAACCTGGTTGCCTCAGTGTGGGTGAGTGCAGAGTCCAGAGAAAGGGGACAAGGAACCTCAGTTCCTTGGGGCAAAGGAACACCAGAGAGGTAGGAGAAATGCCAGGAGGATGTGAAGTCATGGAGCTCAAGGGAAGAGAGATTTTGCAAAGGAAGGAGTGCAAGTGAGATGGGAGACAACTGTGAGAAGCCCCTGAAGACAACTAGATGCTGGGAGGGGCACCATCCTGAGGGGAAGATACAGGAGGGGTGGCTGTCCCACTCCGTAGCCTTGGTGCTGCGAGCCTGGGGGCCAAGAGGAGTGGAAGGCTGATTTTACCATCCAGTCTCAGGGTTTTTTGTTGTTTAGTTTCTTTTTTCTTTTCCTTCCTCCCTGCCTCCTTCCCTCTCTTTGTAGTGTTTGATATCCCATCACTACCTCTTCCATTTCTGTCTCCTATTCTACCTATTTGCAAACAGCTCAGGTGCCCCAAAGTTTGAGGTCTAGAATGAGGCTTCCCTTTCTTCATGGTGGCTTTGCCCCCTCCTCACTCTGCTCTCATATCCCCTTCACAGGCACTGAAGATGCTGGCCATCGCCAGCTCCTCGGAGATCCCCACTTTTGTTACTGGCCGAGATTCTATCCACTCTTTGTTTGATGCTCAGATGACCAGAGAGATCTTCGCCAGCATCGACTCAGCTACACGCCCGGGCTCTGAGAGCCTGCTCCTTGCTGTCCCTGCAGCCGTGATCCTCATGCTGAACACTGAGGGGTCAGGGCGTTACCCTCCCAACTCCAGGCTCCTGCTTAGTCCCAAACCCTGCTACTCCTGTGCTCCAGGCTCATGTTCTCCACAGAAATTCCCCTCATGTTGTCACCTCTGGATTAAGCAATTGTTGTTGGAAGAGAATGCAAGTGGATTGGGGATAGGGAGATTCCCAGAGAGGGCAGAGACACACTGACCTCCCTTTATGGGTTTGGGAGGAGTGGCCTGAGGTCAGGGGATCAGATGTCCTGGCTCAGAGGGCCCACTGGAGCCCTTTGCTCCCTAGCTGCCCAGCCCTCTGTGCTTGCTTTGCTGCTTCCATTGCATTCATGGTCTCTAAGGTTCTTCCTGGTCACCTCCCTCCTCCCAGGTGCTCTTCTGCAGCGAGAAATGGCTTGCTCCTGCTCAACCTGCTTTTGTGCAACCACCACACTCTGGGAGACCAGATTATAACCAGAGAGCTGAGAGACACGTTGTTTAGGCACTCAGGGATAGCACCAGGGACAGAACCTATGCCTACCACACGCACCATCCTCATGATGCTTCTCAATCGCTACTCAGAGCCGCCGGGCAGCCCTGAGCATGCAGGTATCATTGTGGAGGGGTGGTTTTGCAGAGGAATCACACAGTGCCAGCCAGTGACCATGAAGGCTAAGGTTTACATATCAGCTCCTTACTGGAAAGATACAAGGAGACTTCAGGAAATGAGTGAGCATTGTGGTGCTCAAGTTAGGTCTTAAGTAGAATTTCCCGACCAAGAAGAGGGAGACTGTGGAATATGTGCAAGGAAATTGCTGTTGCCCAGGCTGAAGTACAGTGGCACAATCTCAGCTCACTGCAACCTCCGCCTCCCGGGTTCAAGGAATTATCCTGCCTCAGCCTCCTGAGTAGCTGGCATTACAGGCGCATGCCACCACGCCTGGCTAATTTTTGTGTATTTAGTAAAGACAGGGTTTCACCGTGTTGGTCAGGCTGGTCTTGAACTCCTGACCTCATGATCTGCGTCAGGCTGGTCTCGAACTCCTGACCTCATGATCTGCCCGCCTTGGCCTCCCAAAGTGCTGGGATTACAGGCGTGAGCCACTGTGCCTGGCCTAAGTTTGACTTTCTCTTCACAGAATAGGGAGGCCTTCTTAAGAGGAATTATAATTTATGGTACAGAATGCTTGTGCCTGGAAACATTAAATATTAATACTGGGGAAGAAACCCTTTGTGATTGAAAAACAAGTGAAAACCTAGAAGTATGGAGGGATATTGAAATAGGAAATATGTGGCCGGGTGCAATAGCTCACGCCTTTAATCCCAGCACTTTGGGAGGCTGAGGCAGGCAGATCACTTGAGGTCAGAAGTTTGAGACCAGCCTGACCAATATGGTGAAACCCCATCCCTACTAAAAATACAAAAATTACCCAGGCATGGTGGTGGGTGCCTGTAATCCCAGCTACTTGGGAGGCTGAGGCAGGAGAATCGCTTAAGTGCAGGAGGTGGAGGTCACAGTGAGCTGAGATCACGCCACTGCATTCCAGCCTGGGTGATGGAGCGAGACTCCATTTCCAAAAAAATAAAAAAGAAAAATAGGAAATATGTATGTATCTTTTAGTCTGTGTACCTAAAGCCACCATGCAGGTAGTACAGGAATGTAATCATCATAGTTAATATTTACTATAGCTAACATTTTTCATTTTTTTTTTTTTTTCCTCTCGAGACAGAGTTTTGTGCTGTCACCCAGGCTGGAGTGCAGTGGTCGGATCTTGGCTCACTGCAAGCTCTGCCTCCCAGGTTTACGCCATTCTCCTGCCTCAGCCTCCCGAGTAGCTGGGACTACAGGTGCCCGCCACCACTCCCGGCTAGTTTTTTTTGTATTTTTTAGTAGAGACGGGGTTTCACCGTGTTAGCCAGGATGGTCTCGATCTCCTGACCTTGTGATCCGCCCGTCTCGGCCTCCCAAAGTGCTGGGATTACAGGCTTGAGCCACCGCTCCTGGCCTTACTATAGCTAACATTTAATAATACGACTATAAGAGATTTAAAATGTCTTGTGTTTAACCTGACAATGCTTGCTATACTAGGTTTTTTTTTCTTTTTTTTTTTTTTTTTTTTTTTTTTTTGAGACGGAGTCTCGCTCTGTCGCCCAGGCTGGAGTGCGGTGGCCGGATTTCAGCTCACTGCAAGCTCCGCCTCCCAGGTTCATGCCATTCTCCTGCCTCAGCCTCCCGAGTAGCTGGGACTACAGGCGCCCGCCACCTCGCCCGGCTAGTTTTTTGTATTTTTAGTAGAGACGGCGTTTCACCATGTTAGCCAGGATGGTCTCGATCTCCTGACCTCGTGATCCGCCTGTCTCGGCCTCCCAAAGTGTTGGGATTACAGGCTTGAGCCACCGCGCCCGGCGGTTTTTTTTTCAAATGTGATTAGGTTTGTATTTGGGATCAGGAAAGAAAGTCCCCCATAGTTTGGTTAAAAACTGTAGACATCCTCAATATAGAAAGAAAATTTTGGGGTGATTTTCTGGACCTCCCCAGTTCTCAGTTTGGCAAACTGTTAAGACTCTTCATCCACATTTTTCCCTCCGGTGTGTCTGGCTGCAGCACTAGAGACCCCCATCATCCAGGGTCAGGATGGGTCCCCTGAGCTACTGATTCGATCCCTGGTTGGGGGCCCATCTGCAGAACTACTCCTGGACTTGGAGCGTGTGCTGTGCCGTGAGGGCAGCCCCGGGGGTGCCGTGAGGCCCCTCCTCAAGCGCCTCCAGCAGGAGACCCAGCCTTTCCTCCTGTTGCTGCGGACTCTGGATGCTCCGGGGCCCAACAAGACCCTGCTCCTGTCTGTGCTGAGGTGAGAGGCCTGTTGAGGCACCATGCATTGGGACGAGGGAAACTGGCAGACTTCAGGGACTTGACTTGTTTCTTTTCTTTTCTTTTTTTTTTGAGACGGAGTTTCACTCTTGTTGCCCAGGCTGGAGTGCAATGGCGCGATCTCAGCACACTGCAACCTCCGCCTCCCAGGTTCAAGCGATTCTCCTGCCTCAGCCTCCCGAGTAGCTGAGATTACAGGCATGCGCCACCATGCCCAGCTACTTTTGTATTTTTAGTAGAGATTGGGTTTCTCCATGTTGGTCGGGCTGGTCTCAAACTCCCGACCTCAGGTGATCTGCCCGCCTCAGCCTCCCAAAGTGCTGGGATTACAGGCATGAGCCACTGCGCCTGGCCTGACTTTACTTGTTTCTATCCCCTCACCAGGGTCATAACCCGACTGCTGGATTTCCCTGAGGCAATGGTCCTCCCTTGGCATGAGGTCTTGGAGCCCTGCCTCAACTGCCTGAGTGGCCCTAGCAGTGACTCTGAGGTACTAGAACCCTGGTAAGGGGAAGGGAGGGATGGGCAGCATCTGGGGCACCAACTTCCTTGTGAGGCTCTGGAGGGCACAGCAGAGCCTTTCTGAATGGATCTTGGGGCACTGGGATGGGTGTAGGAAGAGGAAGGGTAATGTAATCTAAGAGTCTCCAGAACTGGGATCTTTGAAGTATAACCCATTTTGATGATTTTAGATTTGGATTTTAAATTCTGGACTAAGGAGAAGCCCACATTCACCAATCCAAACAGCTCTCCTCCCTTCAGGGTTTGTGCATTGGAGAGCAAGGCTCAGTCACCAGGGTTAACATAGCTTGGCCCGGCAGGAAGCAGCCTGGAAAGCTATGCCAAAGCTCTGTTCTGCCAACTCACTCTGGAGTCCCAGCACTCCTCTATTTAACTCCACCCTGACTTTGGCACTCTTGTTTCCCTGGGCATTGGCATGTCTCCGCGATCTCAGCCACAACATTTCCTCTACTGAACCCTCTCCTCAATCCTTACATGTCCTACCTCTTGTTTCCTGTAAATGAATCTATGTGGCTCTGGACTCAGATTGTTCAGGAGCTGACCTGCTTCCTACATCGCCTGGCCTTGATGCATAAGGACTATGCTGTGGTGCTCTGCTGCCTGGGAGCAAAAGAGGTCCTCTCCAAAGTCCTGGACAAGCACTCAGCTCAGCTGCTGCTGGGCTGTGAGCTTCGGGACCTGGTGACAGAGTGTGAGAAGTACGCACAGCTCTATAGCAACCTCACTTCTAGCATCCTGGCTGGCTGCATTCAGGTGAGGAGCGGCTGTGGGTATGCAGCTGAGAGAATGCAAGTCAGAAGCAGGGGAAGGGGATTCACTGTGTTCCTCTTTGGTATCCCTGTTTGGCACAGGTTGTAGCAAATCTGGGGCACTTGTTTCCTAACCTTGACTCTACATGGTTCTGTCAAAATGTGGGGAGAGAGGAGTTGAGTGTACCATTGACCCTTTACTTTTTCTGTCGACCTGTTTCTGGGTGTTTCTCTGTGTTCCTCCCTCTCCCCTTCCTCATTCTCCCTGATGTTCCGGCTGCAGATGGTGCTGGGCCAGATCGAAGACCACAGACGAACCCACCAACCCATCAATATCCCCTTCTTTGATGTGTTCCTCAGGCATCTCTGCCAGGGTTAGTGCCCTCATCTGCTTTCTCCTGGCTCCCATCCAGTGTCTGTTCTCCCCTTCCCTTCCTGCTCCCTAGACCTTTTCCTTTTCCCTCTCTCAACTAACCTGGCTGTGACTGCCACCCCTTCCCACTTGCCCCCAGGCTCCAGTGTGGAAGTGAAGGAGGACAAGTGCTGGGAGAAGGTGGAGGTGTCCTCCAACCCACACCGGGCCAGCAAGCTGACGGACCACAACCCCAAGACCTACTGGGAGTCCAACGGCAGCACCGGCTCCCACTACATCACCCTGCACATGCACCGTGGTGTTCTTGTTAGGTGTGAACACACATACGTGAATGTTCTGCTGTGCCCCAGGATATTTCGCCAAAGCACCCAGATACACACAACCCCAGCTATAACCCACATGCCTGAGGGACACACTCAAACCTATTTTGTGCAGTGAACACATAGACACATTGACCTGCCTTAGCTGTGCTGAGTATAGACTTCTCCTCACTCCTGGAATCTGGTGACCTGTACCCCAACAGGTACAGATGGCACTGCCCTGTGCTTAGTGTTGAGGGAGATCAACAGCTCACTTATCCATTTCTCCTGTGGGCATTTGTTTAATGCCAGGCATTTGTGTCAGGCACTGTGCAAGGGACTGGAAATAGAAGGGCAATAAGATATGGTACCTACATTCCAGCTGGGGAGCTACACTAGAAAATCAAGTAAGAGCACAGAGTAAGAAAAAGCATTGCTGTCCACATGTGGACCTGAGACTGACAGGCATCAGAGCAGACTTCCTTCTGGAAGGAGGGGGTGACTGAGCTGGGTTTTGACATTGAAATTAGGTAGATAAAGAGGGGGCAATATTCTAGGCACAAGGACAGCATATGTGTGAAATGGAAGTAAGAAACTGTATTTGGAAGGACTTTAGTAGTCATGTTTGGCTGCAATGAAAACTGTATATCTAAGTGGCAGAAGATACAGGCCAGAAAAGTAGGCAAAGGCAGATCACAAAGTGTTTTGTGAGCTAAGCAGTTTGAACTTTATTCCAAAACTTGGAGAGCCATTAGAAGATTTTAAGAAGGGAAGAGAGAAAACTAGATTTTTTTTTCTTTTTCTTTTTCTTTTTTCGAGACAGGGTCTTGCTCTGTGGCCCAGGCTGCAGTGCAGTGGCACGATCTCGACTCACTGCAAGCTCTGCCTCCTGGGTTCACGCCATTCTCCTGCCTCAACCTCCCGAGTAGCTGGAACTACAGGCGCCCGCTGCCACGCCCGGCTAATTTTTTGTATTTTTAATAGAGGCAGGGTTTCACCGTGTTAGCCGGGATGGTCTGTCTCCCGACCTCATGATTCACCCGTCTCGGCCTCCCAAAGTGCTGAGATGACAGGCGTGAGCCATCGCGCCCAGCCAAAAACTAGATTTTTTTATTGAGAAAGCTCACTCTGGCAATTATGGGAATTACGGTTGGAGATCAGAAGAAAGAGATGGAAGGTTTATGCAGTGGTCTAGTAGAGAAAGGATCCATGTGTTCAGTTAGACAGCAGGAGTGGGAATGGACTGGGAAATCCTCAGAGGTGGAGTCCACAAGGCTTGCCTTTGGGTGAGGGAAGCCATGAGAAGGTGAAGGCCACAGTGACAGTATTCTAGTTGAGTACTGGGTGCACAGAAGTTTTATTTCCCAGGGGAGAAATAGGAATCGGGACAAGTTTATGTGGACAGATGATCATTTCATTTGGGCATGTTGACTTTGAGGCACCTATGGGACATGACATGACCTGTTGGGGACACAGCATGAAAGCTCAGGAGAGTGGTCTGGGATAGAGATGTGGATTTGGAGTCCTCTGTATTAATTTTCAGTTGAAACCATGGGTTTAAATTAAGTCACTTTGGCGGAATATAAAGGGAAGAGCAGAGGGTCCTGTGGGGACAGCTGCGTCAGGAGCCAGCAGAGAAACAGGTGCCCGAGAAAGAAGTGGTGGCTTGAAATAGTTTTGAACTAAAACCAGGGCTCTGGCCTTTTTATTTCTTTCTTTTGATTTTTATTTTGTAGAGGTGGGGTCTTGCAGTATGGCCCAGATTGATCTTAAACTCCTAGCCTCAAGCAGTCCTCCCACCTCAGCCTTCCAAAATGTTGGGATTACAGGTGTGAGCCACCATGTCCAGAGGCCAAGCTTTGACTGTTTCCTTTCTTCTCTCCCAGGCAGCTCACTTTGTTGGTGGCCAGTGAGGACTCAAGCTACATGCCAGCCAGGGTGGTGGTGTTTGGGGGTGACAGCACCAGCTGCATCAGCACTGAGCTCAACACGGTGGGAACCCTTGTGCCCCCCTTCACCTTGCTCCACGTCCTTCTTTTTGTCCCAGTGCCTGTGGGAAGGACCTAGTCCCTGGGGAATGGTGACATCCCTTCCTCCTGGGAAGGCATTGCCTTGTAAGCAGTGAGAGTGGGATTAGGGATGCAGAGCCACGTCCATCCCTGGGCTCTGCAGGAGAAGTGAAGGGCACACACCATGACCAACTTGGTTACTGTCAACAGTTTTTCCAACCCTGTTTCTGCAGGTGACAGCTCTCTCCTTTCTCTCTTCTCCCTTGCCCTGCCAGGTGAATGTGATGCCCTCTGCCAGCCGGGTGATCCTCCTGGAGAATCTGAACCGCTTCTGGCCTATCATCCAGATCCGAATAAAGCGCTGCCAGCAGGTGGTGCCAGGGCATCAGCCGGGGCTGAGGAGGAGGAGGTGGCACAGGGTGTCCAGAGTGGCTGCTTTCTCTAACATCTAGAGGCCAGGGCTTTAGCCAAGGTTTCTCTTTGATCTGCTTGGGAGATGGCCCAGGGACCTGTTGAGTCCCAGAGATGTGGGGATGTCCTGAGCAGTTCTAGGGAGCTCAGGGCAGGAGGCTTGGCTTTGGTAGTACTTAGTGGCTCAAGAGGCTTAGGTGACAGATAAGTCTGTGCATGTTCCAGGGCGGCATTGACACCCGGGTTCGGGGTGTGGAGGTCCTGGGCCCTAAGCCCACATTCTGGCCACTGTTCCGGGAGCAGCTGTGTCGCCGAACATGTCTCTTCTACACAATTCGGGCACAAGCCTGGAGCCGGGACATAGCAGAGGACCGCCGGCGCCTCCTCCAGCTCTGTCCCAGGTGGGTGGGGCCTGAGGAGGGAAGATGGGTAAGGGAACAGGGCACTAAGAAGTAGGAGGGATGCCTCTGTGGGAGTCTGGAAGGGAAAGCTGCAGCCAGAACATGAGGGGGAAGTTGAACATAGGTGAGAAGTTTGTGTTGATTGGGACAAGTCAGGTCAGGGACCAAACGGGGTGATTGGGAGCTGATCTGCACTTGAATGGAGGCCTCTGGGAAATCAGTGCCTTTAATCCTCCACCGTGAACTGTTTGTTCCCAGACTGAACAGGGTTTTGCGCCACGAGCAGAATTTTGCCGACCGCTTCCTCCCTGATGATGAGGCCGCCCAAGCACTGGGCAAGACCTGCTGGGAGGCCCTGGTCAGCCCCCTGGTGCAGAACATCACCTCTCCCGGTAACCATGCTGACACCTGGCCCCACTAACCAGTTCCTTGTCCTTATTCCCAGGGATCACCTGAGTTAATGCTCTTGGTTCTTTTGGTTCCTGTCTTTGTCCCTGAAGGCCTGTCACCTCAATGTTCCTCTCTCCTTCCTGCCCCAGGCACTGCTCCCTGAGACTCTGGTATTTGAATCTTCCCCACTACCCCATCCCCGCCCTGTTACCATCTCCTATGACTCCAGCTGAAGCAAACCTTGGTGAGGGGAGGACTCGGGCCCCACTACCCCTCAAGCCTTTTTGTACAATTGATCTTTCTCCCTCCTCTGCCCTGGGCTGTCTGTTGTCCCATCTCCCATGGAGACCTGTTCCTGACCTGTCTTCTTTCAGATGCGGAAGGTGTGAGTGCCCTGGGATGGCTGCTGGATCAGTACTTAGAACAGAGAGAGAGCTCTCAGAACCCCCTGAGTCGAGCAGCGTCCTTTGCTTCTCGAGTTCGTCGCCTTTGCCACTTGCTGGTGCATGTGGAGCCTCCTCCTGGGCCTTCTCCTGAGCCATCCACTCGGCCCTGTAAGTCCCAACCGTGGCCAATAGAGCTTAGACTGAGGGCAGTGGTGTATCTGGCTCCCTTCTCCCTGGATCTTACTCTTGCTGCTTTGCTACCAGCCTTTCCAGGCCCCTGAGACTTCCTGGCCTTTCCAGGAGATCACTACCCAAGACCGGTGTACTCACCTAGAGGCTGAGATGAAACCCCTTCCTTCTCCCTCTGTTTCTACAGTCAGCAAGAACAGTAAGGGTCGGGACCGGAGCCCGGCGCCTTTGCCAGTGCTTCCAAGTAGCAGCCTGAGGAACATAACCCAATGCTGGCTGAGCGTGGTGCAGGAGCAGGTGGGCAGAAGCAAGCAGAAGTCTGCGGAGGGGAGGGGCTGCTCCTTTTATGTCATTTCTTGCCTTTCTCCTCAGGTCGGCAGATTCCTGGCTGCAGCTTGGGGGGCCCCAGACTTTGTGCCTCGTTACTGTAAACTCTATGAGCACTTGCAGAGAGCAGGCTCCGAGCTGTTTGGGCCTCGGGCAGCCTTCACGCTGGCTCTGCGCAGTGGCTTCTCTGGCGCCTTGCTGCAGCAGTCCTTCCTCACTGCTGCTCACGTGAGTCCCACCAGCTCCCCACAGGGCTATAAGGTCATGTCCCAAGTTCATCTCTTTCTGCTCTGCCCTTTCACCTCCTTTCGCTCCCCAGTCTCCTCCACTCCCTCATTCATGGTTTGCCCATGCCCTTTCCACTGCCCCCAGATGAGTGAGCAGTTTGCCAGGTACATTGACCAGCAGATCCAGGGTGGCCTGATTGGTGGAGCCCCTGGAGTGGAAATGCTGGGGCAGCTTCAGCGGCACCTGGAACCCATTATGGTCCTTTCTGGTCTGGAACTGGCCACAACTTTTGAGCACTTCTATCAGTGAGTGCAGGTCTGGAGGGGTAGGGGATGGGAGGCCTAGATCTGGAGAGTGGACAGATTGAGTCTTATAGGGGAGATGAGAAAAGAGGCTGTGCAGAGGAGAGAGAAAGATGTAGATGGCTGGCCAGGTGCGGTGGCTCACGTGTGTAATCCCAGCACTCTGGGAGGCCGAGGTGGGCACATCACCTGAGGTCAGGAGTTCAAGATCAGCCTGACCAACATAGTGAAACCCTGTCTCTACTAAAAGTACAAAAATTAGCCAGGAGTGGTGGCGTGGTGGCGGGCACCTGTAATCCCAGCTACTCGGGAGGGTAAGGCAGGTGAATTGCTTGAACCCGGGAGGTGGAGGTTGCAGTGAGCCAAGACTGCGTCATTGCATTTCAGCCTGGGTGACAAGAGCGAGACTTCGTCTCAAAAAAAGAAAAGAAAAAAGTAGAGGTGGTCATGCATTGGTGGAAAGGGAGTGGGAGAGAAGAGGTGAGGTAGGGTGTGTGACTCAGGCAGAGGGACAGAGGGACCTACATTCTCGAGGGGGAGGCTGGGCCACGCTGCCACCCACACTGAGGCTTGGCCCGGGCTGTGTGTGCTGCAGGCATTATATGGCGGACCGTCTCCTGAGCTTTGGCTCGAGCTGGCTGGAAGGGGCTGTGCTGGAGGAGATTGGCCTCTGTTTTCCCAACCGCCTCCCCCAGCTGATGCTGCAGAGCCTGAGTACCTCTGAGGAGCTGCAGCGCCAGTTCCACCTCTTCCAGCTCCAGCGGCTTGACAAGTTGTTCTTGGAGCAGGAAGATGAGGAGGAAAAGAGACTAGAGGAAGAGGAGGTAAGAGCAGGGAGAATAGGAGAGTGAGAGAAGACTAGACCAAAGAAGGGAGCCCAAGGGCCCTTGAAATCCTTGTGTCCTTCAGGAGGAAGAGGAGGAAGAGGAAGCTGAGAAAGAATTATTTATTGAAGATCCAAGTCCAGCCATTTCTATACTGGTCCTGTCACCACGCTGCTGGCCGGTCTCCCCACTCTGCTACCTGTACCATCCCAGAAAGTGCCTTCCCACAGAATTCTGTGATGCCCTTGACCGTTTCTCCAGTTTCTACAGCCAGAGTGAGGAACTAGGGAGAGGAAATTGGAGATTGGGGTGAGACTGGGGGTGGCAAGAAAGGAAGAGGAGAGGACCTTTGGACAGGATATAGATATGAAGAAAAATATCAGCTCCTACGGAGGGATGAGAAAGCATGGGTTGTAGTTTCATTAATTTCTGCTCTCATCAGTTCCTTTGACTTTCTATGAATTTGTTCTGTTTTCTTTTTCTAACATTGATTTTTAGTCTTTTCAGACTTTTTTCCAAATAAAAGTTTTTAAGACTTCATTTCCCCTCAATACTGCTTTAGTGGCATCCTATAAAGTTTTAAAAGATTTTTCTTTTTTTTTTTCTGAGATGAAGTCTCACTCTGTCATCCAGACTGGAGTGCAGTGGTGTGATCTTGGCTCACTGCAGCCTCTGCCTCCTGGGTTCAGGTGATTCTGCTGTCTCAACCTCCCGAGTAGCTGGGACTACAGGCGTGTACCACCACACCCGGCTATTTGTGTATTTTTAGTAGAGACGGGGTTTCACTATGTTAGCCAGGCTGCTCTCGAACTCCTGACCTCAGGTGATCTACCTACCTCGGTGAGCCACTGTGCCTGGCCAAAAAGATTTTTCAGATTGGAATATAACTAGTATTCAGTAAAGTGCACAAATCTTAATTATAAGGCTTCATAAATTATTATATTAATATACACCCATGTATCTACCTCCCTCACACCCCCATCAAGATACAGAACATTTCCAGCATTGTGGAAGGCTCTCTCCTTCATGCCCCCTTTCCGGTCAATGTCTTCTTCCAGGAGAAATCATTATTTTTAACCTTTATCACCATAGATTTGTGCCTGTATTTGAACATCATGTAAATGGAATCATACAGTGTTCTGCTGTGTCTGATGTCTTTCATGAAACATACTGTCCATGGGAGTGATCCAAGTTGTCAGGGGTATCATTCGTTTATTCATTTCTTTTGCTGAGTCATATTCCATTGTATGGATGTATTTACCCTTTCTGCTGTTGATGGACATTTGGGATGTTCCATAAGTTTTTATTATGTATTATTTTTATTATTGTTTAGTTCTAAGAATTTTAAAATTTCTATTATTTTTTCTTTATTTTGTTTTTCAGAAGAATATATTTTTAATTTCCAAACAAGTTTTTCTTCAGTTATTTTTTTGTTTTATATTTCTACCCTCATTCCCCTGTGGCCAGAGAGCATGGTTTCTATGATTCTGAATCTTTGCCGTTTATTGAGACTTCTTTATGGCCTAGTAGATGGTCATATTTTACCTGTTTCATGTGTGATTAAGAAGAATGTGTATTCTTAACTGGATTCTACATATTTCACCAAACTGACCTTGTTAATTGTTTTGTTTACATCTTCTGTAAAGTTAGTAGTTTTTGTCTACTTGATCTACTACTGAGAGAGGTGTGCTAAAATTACCACTATGATGGTGAATTTTTCAAAATTGCTAATCATACTGGTTTTACTGTATATATATTTTTTGGCTATTTTGTTAGAAGGTTAAAATAGTTTAACATTGCCATCCAGTAGAACTTTCTACAATGATGGAAAAATTATTTTCTGCACTATTCAGTATGATAGTCATTGATGGAAATTAAGTACTTGGAATGTGGCTAATATAACCGAGGAACTAAATAATTTCATTTAATTGTAATCAGTTTATTATTTTATTTTATTTTTATTTTTTTGAGACAGAGAGAGTCTTGCTCTCTCACCCAGGCTGGAATACAATGGCTTGATCTTGGCTCACTGCAACCTCCGCCTCCTGGATTCAAGCGATTCTCCTACCTCACTCAGCCTCCTGATTAGCTGGGATTACAGGTGTGCACCACTATGCCTGGCTAATTTTTGTATTTTTAGTAGAGACGAGGTTTCACCATGTTGGCCAGACTAGTCTCGAACTCCTGGCCTCAGGTGATCCAGCTGCCTTGGCCTCCCAAATTGCTGGGATTACAGGCGTGAGCCACCGCGCTCAGTCATAATCAGTTTAAATTTAAATAGTTACATGTGGCTGATGGCTACTATGATGGACCATGCAGGTTTAGAAATTCCAGAGTCAATGAAACATTATTATGAAGTGACTTTCTTTCTAATAAAGCTTTTTGTCTAGAAGTCTGTTTTTTTCTGGTATTAATAGTATACCAACTTTCTTTGGTTATTGTCTTTCCAGTTTATCTTTTTCTATTTTTAGCTTTTTGTTTTTGCATGGAGAGAAGTTCTTAATCTTTTGCATACCTTTTTTTTAAAATTGTGGTAAAATATAACTAGCATAATAATTGCCATTTTAACCATTCAAAGTATGCAATTTGTCCTTTTACTTGTATTTTTTGAGAGGGGGTGTCACTCTGTCACCCAGGCTGGAGTGCAGTGTGACGATCTTGGGTGGCTCACTGCAACCTCCGCCTCCCAGGCTCAAGTGATTCTCCCATCTCAGTCTCCCAAGTAGCTGGGACTATAGCTGTGCACCACCACTCCCAGCTAATTTTTGTATTTTTTGTAGAAACACAGTTTTGCCATGTTGGCCAGGCTGATCTCGAACTCCTGGACTCAAGCGATCCTCCCGCCTCAGCCTCCCAAAGTGCTGGGATTACAGGTGTGAGCCACCGTACCTGGCTTCCTTAAACTTTTTAATAATGAAAGTTAGATCTAGAGGTTTCATCAGGTTCAGATTTTTTTTTCTTCGTGTATATTTCTGTGTATACCGCACCTGGCTTATTCCTTTACTTAAAAAAATTTCTTTGGAAATAATTTCAAATTTACAGAAAAATTACAAGAATAATACAAAGAATACCTACATACTCTTTATCCAAGTTTACCTTTTGTTAACATTTTGTTAACGTTTGCTTTTACCATTTGCCCTTTGTTTATGTATATGTGTGTATATATGTATGTATAGAGAGACTTTTATTTTTCTGAACCTTTGAGAATAAATTGCATATATGCTGGCCTTTTGCCCCTAAGTACTTTAGTACATATTTCCTAAGAATAAAGGCCTTCTCTTATATAACCACAGTTCATTTATCAATTTCAAAAATTTAACTCTGGTATAAGTATTGTGATCTATTTTCCATATTCTATTTTTTTTTTTTTTTTTTTTTTTGAGACAGAGTCTCACTCTGTCCCCCAGGCTGGAGTGCAGTAGTGCTATCTCAGCTCACTGCAATCTTCGCCTCCCAAGTTCAAGTGATTCTGCTGCCTCAGGCTCCTGAGTAGCGGGGATTACAGGCACCCACCACCACGCCTGGCTAATTTTTGTGCTTTTAGTAGAGACGGGGTTTCACCATGTTGGCCAGGCTGGTCTTAAACTCCTGCCTCAGCCTCCCAAAGTGCTGGGATTACAGACATGAGCCACCGCGCCCAGCCTCCATATTCTAATTTTTCTTTTCTTTTCTTTTTTTTTTTTTTTGGAGTCAGAGTATCACTCTGTAGCCCAGGCTGGAGTGCAGTGGCGTGATCTCGGCTCACTGCAAGCTCCACTTCCCGGGTTCACGCCATTCTCCCACCTCAGCCTCCTGAGTAGCTGGGACTACAGGTGCCCACCACCACGCCCAGCTAATTTTGTTTCTGTATTTTTGGTAGAGATGGGGTTTTCACCATGTTAGGATGGTCTCGATCTCCTGACTTTGTGATCTGCCCGCCTCAGCCTCCCAAAGTGCTGGGATTACAGGCATGAGCCACCACGCCTGGCCATTCTAATTGTTTCAACTGACCCATCATGTCTTCTATGACTTCATTTTTTTGTCCAGGAAGGGATCAGTCTAGTATCACCTGTAACATTTAGTTGGCATGTCTCTTTAGTCTCCTTTAGTCTGGAATAGTTCCCCATCCACCATCCTTTGCCTTTTATGACACTGACATTTCTGGAGAATACAGTCCTTTTACTTTTTTGTTTGTTTGTTTTGAGACAGAGCCTTGCTCTGTCGCCCAGATTGGAGTGCAGTGGCACGATCCCAGCTTATTGCAACCTCTGCCTCCCAGGTTCAAGTGGTTCTTCTGCCTCAGCCTCCAGAGCAACTGGGACCACAGGCGCACGCCACCACGCATGGCTAATTTTTTTGTACTTTTAGTAGAGACAAGGTTTCACCATATTGGCCAGGCTGTTCTCGAACTCCTGACTTCATGGTCTGCCTGCCTTGGCCTCCCAAAGTGCTGGGATTACAGGCATGAGCCACCGCGTCCGAGCCCTTTTATATTTTTTATTTTATTTTATTTTATTTTATTTATTCATTTATTTATTTATTTATTTATTTATTTATTTATTTATTTATTTATTTATTTTGAGATGGAGTCTTGCTCTGTTGCCCAGGCTGGAGTACAATGGTGCAATCTCAGCTCACTGCAACCTTCGCCTCCCAGGCTCAAGCAATTCTCCTGCCTCAGCCTCCTGAGTAGCTGGGATTATAGGTGCCCACCACCACACCCGGATAATTTTTGTATTTTTAGTAGAGATGGAGTTTCACCATATTGGCCAGTCCAGTCTCAAACTCCTGACCTTGTGAACTGCCCACCTTGGGCTCCCAAAGTCTGGGACTACAGGCGTGAGCCACATTCCTGGCCTACTTTTTAAAAATGGTTCCTCATTTTAAGTTGGTATATTTCTTCATTAGATTCAGGTTATGCATTCCCGGGCAAAATATTAAGTATGTGGCAGGCATGTACTTCTCAAGGCTTTACACCTTGAAGCACACAGTTTTCATCTGCCCCTTCTTTATGAGGTTAATTTTGTCAACCTGGCCAAGAGGTTGTTTGCTTTCTCCACTCATATAGTTAATATTTTTTCTCCTTGCTACAATTAATAAGCGGTCTGTCAGGGAAGATACTTTAAAATCATGCCAGTATTCTACTTTTGTTAGAATTTCCCCTGGGATTGTTTTGCTTTTAACTTTGCCATACCCTTTGTGTTTTAGGCACACGTCTTATAAAAACCTAGAATTTGGCCGGGCGCGGTGGCTCAAGCCTGTAATCCCAGCACTTTGGGAGGCCGAGACAGGCGGATCACGAGGTCAGGAGATCGAGACCATCCTGGCTAACACGGTGAAACCCCGTCTCTACTACAAAATAAAAAAACTAGCCGGGCGACGTGGCGGGCGCCTGTAGTCCCAGCTACTCGGGAGGCTGAGGCAGGAGAATGGCGTAAACCCAGGAGGCGGAGCTTGCAGTGAGCTGAGATCCTGCCACTGCACCCCAGCCTGGGCGACAGAGCAAGACTCCGTCTCAAAAAAAAAAACAAAAAAAAAAACTAGAATTTGTTTTTTGTTCAACCTGACAATCTCTTTTTAAGATGTCAATTTTAGCCCATTATGAGTAACAAATTCGTAATAAATTCATAAATAATAAACTCATAATGAATTCATTTATTATTCATTAATTAATTGGCTGTTTCTAACTTCTCATTTTGTGTTTTTGTTTACTCTTCTTGTATTTAAAGAAGAATAAATTGAGCACCTATGTACATATGATTCCACCCTGGGTTTTTGTGCTGTCTTTTTTCTTTTTTCTTTTGGATTGATTGATTGTTTTTAAAAAATTTATTTTTTGTCTATATCAGTTTTAGAACTTAGGCATTCTATTTTTATAAGTGAATACCCTTGTATTTTTAACCTGAATCCTTGATTAGCTAATATCACTTCCTACCTTTCTGAACAATAAAAGGATCTTAGAAAATCTTAACTCCAGCTCTAATTCCCATATTACTTATTACTGTTGTTCCATATTTTAGAATTATCTTTTTTTAACCTCCAACATTGTCATTATTATGATTTATTCAGGGATATTTACATTTGCCACCATGCCAATTGCTTTAGCCACCATTTCCTTTGCCTCTTGATCCTTCTTCTTTTTAAAATACATCTGCTAGAGAAGTGCCTTCAGGCCGGCCATGGTGGCTGATGCCTGTAATGCCAGCACTTTGGGAGGCTGAGGCAGGCAGATCACCTGAGGTCAGGAGTTTGAGACCAGCCTGGCCAAGATGGCAAAACCCTGTCTCTACTCAAAATACAAAAATTAACCAGGCATGGTGGTACACGCCTGTAATCCCAGCCACGCGGGAGACTGAGGCAGGAGAATTGCTTGAACCTGGGAGGCGGAGGTTGCCGTGAGCCGAGATCATGTCACTGCACTCCAGTCTGGGGGACAGAGTGAAACTCCGTCTCAAAAAAAAAAAAAAGCGTCTTCATTGAGGAGTTTGGTGGAAAACCCTACCAGTTTTTTTATTTGTCTGAGAAGGGTTATTTTCACCCTCATTTAAAAAGTCTTTTTATTATAAATTTCAAGCATATACAAATGTAGACAGACTAAACTCCAACATATATCAGCTCATGGCCAATCTTGCTTCAATCTGTACTCCCATCTATTCCCCCCCAAAATTTAAAAGATAAGTGCTCTTTCTTTTTTTTTTTTTTTAAAAGATACTACAATTATCAAATATTTAGAAATTTGCAATTTGTATCAAATATACAGTCATTGCTCATATTTCCCTGATTGCCTTGGAGTTTTTTGGTTAGTTATTTTGTTTAGTGAGGATCCAAACAAGGTCCATGCATTGCATTTGGTTGCATTATCTTACATCTCCCTTACTCTATAGGTTTCCACCTCCCGTTTTATCCTCCTTGCAGTTATTTCTGGAGGAAAGTGGGTTATTCATTCACAGGCTGGATTTTCCTGATTGCATTCACGTGGTGTCTTCAAGCATATTCCTCTGTCTCCTTTATTTCCTGAAAACTGATTTGTAGGTGTAGAGGCTTATTCAGATTTGGGTTTGATTTCTTGGGCAAGAACGCTTCAGTGGTGGTATGTGTCCTTCCACCAGGAGGCAGGTTCAGCCTGTCTCCCTTTGTGATGTTGAGACGAATCAACGGATTTCAGTGTGTCAGTCATGTCTATACATTACATGTAATTTTCCATCAGCTTTTCACCAGGCAGGCATTTCTACCATTGCTTAGGTCTATCATTTCATTAGGGGTTATGAAATAGTTATATCTAGTTCTGTCATTCCTTCTTCATGTATTAGCTGGAATGCTTTCAAGAGAAACTTCCTTTCACCAACTGTTTATTTACCCTGAAGTCCGGTTTATACAAGAAAGGCTTGATGGTTTCCTCTTCCAATTATTTTTAACTAGTTTTAAAAATAATGTGTTGGTTCTCTAGTATGTTTTAAATATAACCAATGGGGTCTTTTAAAAACATATCATTATGAACTCATAGATTTTAAAATATTTTGTGTGGTTCCATCACACATTGCAGATTTTTTTTTTTTTTTGATGCTCTAATTGTCCCGTCTTTGATCAGAGAGCATCTCTCAGGTAGGCTCTTGGTCCCTTTAATACTCCCCCTTTGACAGCTTCCTTGCTTTCCAGTATGAACAGATGTCTCAGGCTCACCCTGCCTGAGCTGTGAAACAGGAGGAGGAAGAGATCCAGCTTAGTGGGTCTTTAAAACTGTGAGCTCCTTGAGGGCAAAATGCAAGTGCTTTCTCTCTGGTGTTTTTGCATGGAACCTGCCTGGCACAGGGCTAGGCTCTGGGTCTAGAGATGGGCTCCTAGTTACCTGTGGCTCACCAGGGAGGCAGGTGCAGAGAAGGCTGAGATCTGGAAGCTTGACAAGGTATCTCTCTGTCTGAAAATGCTGGGACCCTCCTCCCCGCAGGGACTAGTAGGAGCAAAGCTTGACACCTCAACCCCTTGTTTCGCCCATTCCGTGTCTCCACCCTTCTCCTTGACACTTGCCTAGGTCAGAACCATCCAGTCCTGGACATGGGACCACATCGGCGACTGCAGTGGACGTGGCTGGGCCGGGCTGAGCTGCAGTTTGGGAACCAGACACTGCATGTGTCCACCGTGCAGATGTGGCTGCTGCTGAATTTCAATCATACAGAGGTGCTTCAGCCCTTAGCCTCTCTCTGTCTTCTCTGCCACCTTGTCTGTTGCTCTTCTCCTCCTTTCATCCTTCCTCCCCTCTTCTTTCTTTTCTTTCCTTTGACTACTGACTGGGCATTTCTCCTCATCAGGAGGTGTCAGTAGAGACCTTGCTGAAGGATTCTGCCCTCTCCCCAGAGCTGCTGCTCCAGGCACTCGTGCCCCTCACCTCGGGGAATGGCCCTTTGACCCTGCATGAGGGCCAGGACTTTCCACGCAGGGGTAGGTCACTGGGGACCGGGCTGAGCCTCTGCTGCTGGTCAGGGGGTTGCCCTCAGGATAGAGGGACTGTAGTAGGGGTGAGAATGGGGTCATCTTAGTCCCCATTCATCTGTCCCTCTGCCTCCTCCGGTACCTGACCGGGAGCGGGTTCCAGGTGTGCTGCGGCTTCATGAGCCTGGGCGCCAGCGCAGTGGGGAGGCCCTGTGGCTGATACCTCCCCAGGCGTACCTGAACGTAGAGAAGGATGAGGGCCGAACCCTGGAACAGAAGAGGAATCTCTTGAGCTGTCTTCTTGTTCGTATTCTCAAAGCCCATGGGGAAAAGGGCCTCCACATTGATCAGCTGGTTTGTCTGGTAGGCAGAGAGGGGACCATGAAGTTGGGGGAGGGAAGGAATCATGCTTGGGATTGGGGATGAACACAGTGAACTCTTTCAATGTAAGACTTCTGTAGGGTGACATTTCCATCTGGGTTTTCTGTGCCTGACAGAACAGATAGGAGGTAAAGATAAGGCATGAGTGTTTACCATGTGCCAGGCCCTATTCTAAGAGTTTGCATGATTAAGTCATTTAATCCAGCCGGGCACAGTGGCTCATATCTGTAATCCCAGCACTTTGGGAGGCCAAGGCGGGCGGATCACTTGAGGCCAGGAGTTTGAGACCAGCTTGGCCAACAAGACGAAACCCTGTGTCTACCAAAAATATAAAAAGTAGCTGGGCATGGTGGCACATGCCTGTAATCCCAGCTACTTGGGAGGCCAAGGCATGAGAATCGCTTGAACCCAGGAGGTGGAGGTGGAGGTGAGCCAAGATTGTGCCACTGTACTCCAGCCTGGGCAACAGAGCAAGACTCTGTCTCAAAAAGAAAAAAAGTCATCATTTAATCCTAACAACAATCCTATAAATGTTATTTTATTTCATTTGACAGATAAGAACAGTGAAGTATGAGAAACTTAGTAGTGGCCAGGCGCTGTGGCTCACGCCTGTAATCCTAGCACTTTGGGAGGCTGAGGTGGGTGGATCACTTGAGGTCAGGAATTCGTGACCAGTCTGGCCAACATGGTGAAACCCCATCTCTACTAAAAGTACAAAAATTAGCTGGGTGTGGTGGTGCACACCTGTAGTCCCAGCTACTTGGGAGGCTGAGGCAGGAGAATCCAGGAGGCAGAGGTTGCAGTGAGAGATGGTGCCACTGCACTCCAGCCTGGGCAACAGAATGAGACTCTGTTGGAAAAAAAAGAAAGAGAGAGAAACTTAGTAACTAATCTACAATCACACAGCTAGTAAGTGGCAGAGCCACCAGACACCGTGGCTCATGTGAGAGGATCACTTGAGTCCAGAGTTTGAGGGTGCAGTAAGCTATGATCATGCCCCTGCACCTTGGCCTGGGTGACAGAGCAAGACTGTCTCTTAAAAAAAAAAGAGGCGGGGGAATAAGTGGCAGAACTGGGCATTGAGCCCAGCAGCCTACTTCCTAGGTAAAAGTGGCCTTATTGTTTCTTTCCTCCTATCCAGGTGCTGGAGGCCTGGCAGAAGGGTCCAAATCCTCCTGGAACCCTGGGCCACACTGTTGCTGGGGGCGTGGCCTGTACCAGTACAGATGTGCTCTCTTGCATCCTGCACCTCTTAGGCCAGGGCTACGTGAAACGGCGTGATGACCGGCCCCAGATCCTGATGTATGCTGCTCCAGAGCCCATGGGGCCCTGCCGGGGTCAGGCAGATGTCCCTTTCTGTGGCAGCCAGAGCAAAACCTCCAAGCCTAGGTAGCCAACCCTACCTGACCCCTTGCAGTGAGGTGGGAGAGGTTGTCATGCCAAAACCAATATCCCTTGTGGAGAAACACTTCCCTTCTTTCTTTGTCTAATCCCCTTTTCCCTATCCCTATTATTTCCCTAACTTTGATAGTTTTTATTGACCCTCCCAGCACCACCACCCCTTTCCAACTGGGGCCTGCAAATATGTATTGATTGCTAACTATGTACTCTACTCAGTTAAATATACAAACTTTCAGGAAGTTTGTTCTACAGAGGAATTTGCCATAGGATTTCACTCATCAGCCAGCATCCCTAAAGCTTTTTAATGTTCTTTAGAAGCTGTTATGGCCCTGCTTTTTGTATCATGCTGTTTGCATCATGTGTAAAGTGAATTATCTCGAGTAATCTTTCTCAAACCTCAACAAGGAGCTAGTGTTAAAATGCAGATTTAACAGCAGAGCTCTCTGTGATGCCTGTGCTGCTGGTCCACAGACCACACTTGAGCAGTAAGAATGGAGATTGCTGTTCTCACTACAGGTGCTGCCACCATTTGGGGTGAGACCTACAGTGGGACTGTCCCATCAGCTATTGGTCTTTTAGTACCCTGACCCCTAGATACCTATTTTTCCCCAGTCATTGCAACAGCCAGCCCCACCCTGACATTTACAAATGCTTCTGTGGAGGACCTACTCTGACGGTTGGTTTGGGTGGTTATCCTGAGGCTGGTTAGGCAAGCGAGCAAGTATGCTCAAGTAGGGAGCTGGGGGCCAGGTGGGGTTCAGTTAGTAGGCTGGATAACAGGGCAGGAATACTGACTTCTGCTTCTTCCCTCCCCACAAGCCCAGAAGCTGTGGCTACCCTGGCATCTCTACAGTTGCCTGCAGGCCGCACCATGAGCCCCCAGGAAGTAGAAGGGTTGATGAAGCAGACGGTGTGTCAGGTGCAGGAGACTCTGAACTTAGAGCCAGATGTCGCTCAGCACCTTTTGGCTCATTGCCACTGGGGCGCTGAACAGCTGCTGCAGAGCTACAGTGAGGACCCTGAGCCACTGCTGCTGGCAGCTGGGTTGTGCGTACCCCAGGCCCAGGCTGTACCCGCACGGCCTGACCACTGCCCTGTCTGCGTGAGCCCTCTGGGTTGTGACGACGACTTGCCCTCTCTCTGCTGCATGCACTATTGCTGTAAGGTGAGGCCCCGCCAGCATTGCTCCTGCCCCTGGCTCTCTGCCCTACCCTAACAAAATTCCTTGGGAATTCTTGGGTTCTAGCCCAGCACTGCCATTTTGATCACCGGGGCAATAGCGGATTTAGTCTCTTAGTCCCTCTTAAACTAGTTTTGTCATCTGTAGATGGTACCACCTGCCTTGACACTCTAAAGGGTGGTGATTAGGATCTAGCGATATGTATCAATGGTTCTCCAGCTCAGCTTCATATTATAATCACTGGAAGCTTTTATAAGTCTTAATGCCCAGACAATACCTCAGACTAATTAAATCAGAATCTCTGGAGGTGAGAAATCTGGAGGAAGTTTTAAAGCATCCTCACGGGATTCCCATTATCAGCCAAGTTAGAATAAGAGATATATGTGTAAAATAGATGTCAAGGCACTTTGTGAAGTGTTTGCAAAAGTGTTAGTAGATTGGCAATAACTCTAGTTTGTGGTTGCCCTTATCACCATTTAAGTCCCCTCATCTCAGCGCACTATCACTACTTTTATCATATACTCTCACTTAATATAAAATTTTTTTTTAAATGGGCCTGGTGAGGTAGTGTGCACGCCTGTAATCAACTTACTTTGGGAGGCTGATGTGGGCAGATTGCTTGAGCTCAGGAGTTCGAGACCAGCCTGGGCAACATGGCAAGACCTCGTCTCTACAAAAAACACAAAAATAAGCTGGGCATGGTGGTGCACACCTATAGTCTCAGCTACTCGGGAGGCTGAGGTGGGAGGATCACCTGAGCCTGGGAGGCGGAGGCTGCAGTGAGCCAATATCTCACCACTGCACTCCAGCCTAGAGGACAGAGTGAGACCCTGCCGTAGGGTCTTCTTGCTGTATAGGCTTGCTTCTGTACAGTGGACACAGAGAAGCTTGCAGATGGGGAGTGAGTCATCTTCAAAAGTAAAAAAAAGTAGGGCTGAGGTACAGAGAACCTGGAGCACTGAGTCCGATATTCCCTGCCTCACAGCTCTTTAGAACTGGTGCCAAGCTCAAACACATCAGCTTAGCAGGAGGGGCAGTCCTGGTTGCCATGAATTCCAGCTGCTTCTCCCAACAGTGTTTCCCCAGTAGTGGGTGATAGACGTGTCTGCATGTGCTTGTGTGCACATGCATGCGTGTGTGTGTGTGTGTGTGTGTATTCTCCTTTTCTCTTTCCCTTTGGCTCTGCTTCTGGCTCCTCCTCTCACATAGTTGCTTATGCTCCCTTTACCCCAGGTTCTTAATTATTTCCTTTACACTTCTATTTTTTCATTCAACAAATATTTCTCATGGACTTATGTGCATAGCATTGGGTGCTAAATGAGGTATTGAAAAAAATCCCAGCAAGAAATGACCAGAGAGCTAATAATATTGATGGGAGCTCACTCTGAGCCAGACATTGTGCTGTTTACATGCATTATTTTACTTAATTCTCATACTAGTTACATGAGGTAGGTGTTTTTGTTACTGCCATTTTTCATGACAGAGGGAGACACTTGGAGGTGAAGTAATTTGCCAAAGGTCAGGATTTGAATTTTGGCAGTCTCAAGCAATCCTCCCGTCTTGATCTCCCAAAGTGCTGGAATTACAAGCATAAGCCACCACACCCAGCCTGACAGTGGATTTTATTTTATGAGAAGCCATGGTGGGTTTAAGCAGAATAGTGATATGATCTGGTTTATATTTATATTTATTATATTTATTTATTTATTTTTATTTTATTATTATTTTTTGTGATGGAGTCTCACTCTGTCGCCCAGGCTAGCGTGCAGGGGCGCGATCTCAGCTCACTGCAACTTCCGCCTCCTAGGTTCAAGCGATTCTTCTGTCTCAGCCTCCTGAGTAGCTGGGACTATAGGTGCCTGCCACCACACCCAGCTAATTTTTTGTATTTTTAGTAGAGACGGGGTTTCACAGTGTTAGCCAGGATGGTCTCGATCTCCGGACCTCGTGATCCACCCGCCTCGGCCTCCCAAAGTGCTGGGATTACAGGCATGAGCCACTGCACCTGGCCCTACAGTTTTTAAAAGATTGCTTCTGCCGTTATATGGAGAAAAGGCTTGGATGGAGCAAGAGTGGAAGCAGAGATGCCCATTTGGTGACTGTCGTACTAGAGGCAAGAGATGGTGGTAGTTTGGACTAGGGGCAGTGGCGATGAGAGGGGGCAGATTGGGACACATTTGGAAGTGGAGCTGATGGGATTTGGTGGGGTTAGATGTAGGGGCTTCAGAGAGGGAAATCAAGGATGGTTCCTGTGCTTTTGACCTGAGCATCTGGGTGGATGGCATGTGTCATCTTTACTCTGTTGTGGCCCTGTGAAATTTGAGCTGCTTGTTGGACACCTGTGTGGAACTGGCAGGTAGACAGTGGATTTTTGAATTTGGAATGAAGCGGAGAGGCCTGGCAGGCCTTACCCAAAGAGAAAGAAGCAGACCCAGGGTACCAAGCCTGTAGAGATATAGAGATGGGGGGTCGCAGGAGTTTGAGACCAGCCTAGACAACATAGCAAGACCCTGTCACTACAAAAAATAGAAAAAAAATGTACCCAGGCATGGTGGTGCACACCTATAGTTCTACCTACTCAGGAGGCTGAGGTGGGAGGATTGCTTAAGTCCAGGAGATTGAGGCTGCGGTGAGCCATGATTGTGCCACTATCCTCCAGTGTGGGTGACAAAGCGAGACCCTGTCTAAAAAAAGAGAGAGAGAGAGAGAGAGAGAGACAGATAGACAAGGGGCCTAAAAACCAGGCAGATGAACAGGCTGATTGAAAAGCCCCTGCTGAGGAGGAGCCCGTGCAGCATTAGTCACAGCTGAGCGGCACAGCAGCAACACAAGAGAAGCAGCAGGACAGCTCCCAGGGTGAGCCCCACCACTTGGGTTGGACAATAGTCATGAGAGCAGCTGGGGGTCCCCAGACTGAGATGCCAGGTCAGAGGGGGATCCTGAGGCACCAGTGTGCCTATAAGAGTAGGGTCTGAATTCAGAGAAAATTTTCCCTGTTCTATCTCAAAAATGCAAGAATTTGCATTCAATTTCCCAGCCTTGTCTGGGTTTGTTTCAATGCAGAAAGGGTTTTGTTACCTTGGTCTGGTACTTTGAGTAAAAACGATCTAGTCAGGTGCTTCACATTTATGCTGCAGCTTTGATATGACAGACACACGGTCTCCTGAGGGTTTAGACCCATCATTTTGGAAAGCATGGCCATAGGCAGTGTGAGAGGCAGGGGTCGTTCATGGAGTATTGTAGGAGGCTCAGATGGCTGTGACGGCTGCTCGTGCATAGACCAAATGGATGGTGTGGGGGAGAGACCGGGAGAGGAGACCATGGATCAGAACAGGCTCTCACAGTGGTTTAGGGATGAGGGGATAATGGCCTGATTTAGGATGGGGGAGTGACATGGGAGCAAGAGAACGATATGAAGATTCCGACACTGGTGACGAGGGGGACGGTGGTGCAAGTTGATCAGGGTTTGGGGGAAACGCAATGGGCAAGTCAGTTTTGTAGAGAAGAGGCTGGGTCTGTTGGAGGCGTGAGTCGGAGACAGGAGCATCCAAACAGTCATTGGAGATAAGCCACTGGAGTTGGGAGGAGAGACCAGAGCTGTGTTGTCAGCCACCCAGGCGACCCATTTCCCAGGCCTCCTTTCTCTCGGACCTTCCTGCTCTCTGCATACCTTTCTTAGAATTTGAATCATTCTCCTTTTTCTTGATTATTTCTACCCATTCTCTCCTTGTCCATCCCAACAGTAATTATGATTAGGCAAATACACAGCCTACCCCATCCTCAAAGACAACTGTAATTTGGGCCAGTCTCAGTGAAGCCGGAGAGAGGAGTCAGCATTGTTTGATGTAGAGGCAGGCTTGTCTCTGGGCTTCCACGTTGTAGTGGAGGGGAAGGGAAGGAGGGATGCTACCTTAGTTACCAGGATACTCCCCCTGTGCTGCTCCCACACTGTCTCTGAGCAGCCCCTCCTTTTGTCCCTCCCAGTCTTGCTGGAATGAGTACCTGACAACTCGGATAGAGCAGAACCTTGTTTTGAATTGCACCTGCCCCATTGCCGACTGCCCCGCCCAGCCCACCGGAGCCTTCATTCGTGCCATCGTCTCCTCACCAGAGGTCATCTCCAAGGTATCCTCTCTCGTCTGAGAGAGGCTCCAGTGCAGAGCCAAAGGAGTGTGCCCCAGGGAGTGGGCTGAGCTATGGGGTCTGGGGGCCTGGAGGTGTGGCATCCTGGAGAGCCATGCCCTCACCTTGTGGCACCTGCGTCTCCACAGTATGAGAAGGCGCTCCTGCGTGGCTATGTGGAGAGCTGCTCCAACCTGACCTGGTGCACCAACCCCCAGGGCTGCGACCGCATCCTGTGCCGCCAGGGCCTGGGCTGTGGGACCACCTGCTCCAAGTGTGGCTGGGCCTCTTGCTTCAACTGTAGCTTCCCTGAGGTGGGAGTCCCACACTGGCCCTGACCCTGAGCAAGGATTCACACTCCTTCCCTGCTTAATACCCCCTCCCTGCCACACACACAGACTGTGACTTGTCCTTCCTCAGCTTCTGCCACCCAGTTGAGCCCTGTTCTTCTTCCTGGAGCCCTCCAAATGTGACCTGTGCCTGCTCCCCCCTCTCCTGTGCACACCAGCCGTGCTGTCCTCGGGACTTAGCTGTGTCCCTACCACGCCCTCTTGCCCTAGGCACACTACCCTGCTAGCTGTGGCCACATGTCTCAGTGGGTTGATGATGGCGGCTACTATGACGGCATGAGTGTGGAGGCACAGAGCAAGCACCTGGCCAAGCTCATCTCCAAGCGCTGTCCCAGTTGTCAGGCTCCCATCGAGAAGAACGAGGGGTGCCTGCAGTAAGAAGGGGGGTACTGTGGGGAGCCAGAGGGCAAGGGGAAGGGAGGAAACCTGGCAGAAGGAGGGAGGAACGGGCTTAGTGTAAAGCTCAGCAAAAGAGGGTGGTTCCTCAGCCGCCCCTCATGTGGCAGCCTCCACAGTGGCTTCCTGGATCTTAACGTTCCTTTTCCCACTTGTAAGTCCACACTGAGCAGGGGTGCATTCAGCAGGGCTGGGTATGACTAAGGAGACTTATCAGGGCAGGAGCAGAGGCCACAGCATCAGCAGCGGTGCATCTGGGCCCTTGGCATTCCTGGCATGCCCCTGCCCAGAGGCAGGAGTCCCTGACCAGCCAGCTTCCTCCATAGCATGACCTGTGCCAAATGTAACCATGGATTCTGCTGGCGCTGCCTCAAGTCCTGGAAGCCAAATCACAAAGACTATTACAACTGCTCTGCCATGGTAAGGCGCTGGGCACTGGGGGAGGGCAGAGACCCAGAGCCGTTGGGGAGGGGTGCTGTTACCAGGTCCTGGGCAGACCAGGCTCCGTGCACAGTGCAGCGTTCTGGCTGTTGGGACAGAGGCTCAGTGCACGGAAGACAGCCACCTGGGCCTGCAGATGCTGGAAAGTCTGTTCATAGGGAAATTCAGCTCCAGAACAGGACTTCTCATACTGAGGTGGCTACAGAAAGGCTGGGGAGGGCCAGACACTCTCAGGAGGCAGCAGGGCAGAGCAGGGACCCTGCAGTCAGAGCCTGGCTGTGCTGCTTAGCATGTGGCTTTGAGCAAGTTCATTTGCTTCTCCAAACCTCAACAGCCTCTGCAAAAGGGGTGAATAATATGACCTACCCCACACAGTCTTAAGGACTGAATGAAGATAACCAGGGGAGGTATAGAAAGGCCTCCATGAATGTTGCCTTTTCCACTTATTAACTCCTTCCTGTCCAAACAAAACACCCAATAGCCCACTCAACATATCCTTGCTAGGTAAGCAAGGCAGCTCGCCAGGAGAAGCGGTTTCAGGACTATAACGAGAGGTGCACTTTCCATCACCAGGCGCGGGTGAGCCGGGAGGAAACAGCGGGTAGATGCCTGCAGAAGCGGGGTGGGGTGGCGGGGTGGAGGGGGGTGGGCTGAAGGTCTGACCGGGCAGGTGGTGCTGCGCCACCTGTGCTGGTGCTGATACACCTTCCTCCACACAGGAATTTGCTGTGAACTTGCGGAACCGGGTATCTGCCATCCATGAAGTGCCCCCACCCAGATCCTTCACCTTCCTCAATGATGCCTGCCAGGGACTGGAGCAGGCTCGGAAGGTGGTAGTGGGTGGGGGAGGAGGGCAGGGGAGGGGCGTGCCAAAGGGGTCTGGGGAGCTTGGCTGCTTTCATGGGACTTGCCTGGATGAAGGGAATGAGGAGAGGGCAGGCGGGAGAGCTGACGGGAGCCCTTGCAGGTGCTGGCCTATGCCTGCGTGTACAGCTTCTACAGCCAGGACGCAGAGTACATGGACGTGGTGGAGCAGCAGACGGAGAACCTGGAGTTGCACACCAATGCCCTGCAGATCCTCCTGGGTGAGCCACCCCTGCCGGCCAGGCCCTCCTCCTGCCTCCCCCCCTCTGTTGCACAGCCCAGCCCCTCCCAAACAGGTCAAGCCGCAGCCCCACCTTCCCTCTCTCCTCTTCCTCTTCATTCTTCATGGCCTTCTCACTGCCTGGCTGTTAAAGTTCAGGTCGAAAGCCTACATTGTAAGGTGCCCAAGGGCGCAGATGTTTGCGGATGTTTCTTGGTTTCTGGTCTCTACCCTGCTCCCCTAGGGAGCTTCATGAGAATGTCTAGAGCTGCACCTGGCGCTTGGTAGATGTTCCATAGGTGTTTGTTGGAGAAAAGAATGGATGAGAATGAGAAGGGAGGGAGCCTCTCTGTCTGCCCCCTCTGCAGAGGAGACCCTGCTGCGGTGCAGAGACCTGGCCTCCTCCCTGCGACTCCTGCGGGCTGACTGCCTCAGCACGGGCATGGAGCTGCTCCGACGGATCCAGGAGAGGCTGCTTGCCATCCTGCAGCATTCCGCCCAGGTACTCCCTGGCCCAGACCCCTTCTGCTCCTGCGTTCTGCGGGAGTTGTGGTCCTCCTGTCCCAGCACAGCCCCTGCCCTGGGGCGAGTCCAGAAGGAAAGGCAGCAAAGTGGGTGAATGGATGTTAGGAGACCTGGGTGCACATCCCGGCTCCTAGGCCAACCTGCCTGATGCTGCTGGACCCTATCATTTCACCTCCTGGGGATTCCTACAAAATAAAGGAGTTGGCTAGCCCACATCAAGGGTATTTGGTCAGGTGCCTATCAGAATCACTTGGGGAACTTTTCCAGACTATACTTCCCAGATATGGATTTGAAATCCTAGGAGTGGGCATCAGGGGATTGGGGTCACTGGAGCAAGGGCTCTCCCAGGCTCTCTCCAGCTCTAATGCACTGATGCTGAGTCTAAACTGAATCCTGTCCTCTGGTTGCTTACTGACTAGTAAGTCACGTGGGCAGAAAAGACATACATAGATTCTGTAAGCTCTTTAAGCACAGGGTGGTGTGCCTCACCCTGGTACCCCGTATCTCTGGAGACCATCCGTGAGTGAACTCACAAAGGCAGTGGTTCATGAAGTGCTGTGCTGGGAGGGGAGGAGTCCTAGCAAGAGCTTGGCCCTCACAGAGCATCAGTGGCAGGAATGCTGGGTCCAAAGGCCCCACGCCCTCTACCTCCTACTTCCCAAATCCTTCTGTCTGCTCACCAGGATTTCCGGGTTGGTCTTCAGAGTCCATCAGTAGAGGCCTGGGAGACAAAAGGACCCAACGTGCCCGGCAGTCAGTAAGTGGGGTGGGCAGAGCCACGGAGGAGGCAGTGGGACATGGCAGCCTCCTCTGGGCTGAGTGTGGTGGCTTTCCCTAGGCCCCAGGCCTCCTCAGGGCCAGAGGCGGAAGAGGAGGAGGAAGACGATGAGGATGATGTGCCCGAGTGGCAGCAGGATGAGTTTGATGAGGAGCTGGACAATGACAGCTTCTCCTACGATGAGTCTGAGAACCTGGACCAAGAGACTTTCTTCTTTGGTGATGAGGAGGAGGATGAAGATGAGGCCTATGACTGAGGGGGCAAATGCAGGAAACACCTAGAGCCGCCCCAGAGTCACGGGGCTGCGGGGGCGGGAGCTGCCCCTGTTTGTCATGGGGAGGGGATTCCCAGCGTCTGCAGTGCCTCTTTCTGTTTATTGAATAAAGGCCTCTTTCTCACACACGTCTCGGAGCAGGCTGACAGCTTCACCAGGGGCCAATCAGTTGCCACTGCCCTGGCCCCACATCCACCCACACCCCTAATCTTTACTGTTTCCTTTAGACCTCTGGACTCTTCTATCCTCCAAGAAGGCTCAGAGCAGACTCATCTGACCTAAGCTGATAAAGGGAAGTGAAGTTTGGCATGGAAAGGGCCAGGTGCAGCCCCAGCCCAGTTCAGGGGAGACAGAGTGGGGTGGCCACCCCCAGGAACAACCTTCCTCCCAACTCTTTTTTTTTTTGGTTCTGAGATGGAGTTTTGCTTTTGTCCCCCAGGCTGGAGTGCAATGGCTTGATCTCGGCTCACTGCAGCCTCCGCCTCCCGGGTTCAAGTGATTCTCCTGCCTCAGCCTCCTGAGTAGCTGGGAGTACAGCCATGCATCACCACGCCCGGCTAATTTTTGCATTTTTAGTAGAGATGGGGTTTCCCATGTTGGCCAGGCTGGTCTCAAACTCTTCAGCTCACGTGATCCGCCCGCCTCGGCCTCTCAAAGTGTTGGGATTACAGGCGTGAGCCACTGCACCCAGCCTTTCCTCCCAACTCTTGGCTCACTGCAAGCTCCACCTCGTGGGTTCACGCCATTCTCCTGCCTCAGCCTCCCGAATAGCTGGGACTACAGGCACCCGCCACCACGCCTGGCTAATTTTTTGCGTTTTTAGTAGAGACAGGGTTTTATCGTGTTAGCCAGGATGGTCTCAATCTCCTGACCTTGTGATCCGCCCACTTCAACCTCCCAAAGTACTAGGATCACAGGCGTGAGCCACCGTGCCGACCCTCCTCCCAATTCTTAAGTGTTCCTGGGGAGGAAGGGGCTTGAGGGCATTTGGAATTGTCCTCCTCTCGGCCTAGAGATTTCTAAAGCATCTATCTTGAAGTGAAGTGTGGCAGGACTCAGACAGAAAGTTAGGATTTTAACTGTACCTTTTAATTTGCTCCTGGGGCTAAGAGGAAGGAAGTGTCTGAGAACAGAAGAATTTAAGAAAGTGAGATTAAGTCAAGTGGGTGGGTTAGGGGAGGCAGCCACCTGCCCTGGAGGATCAGCCTCGAAGTATCGATCCAGCAGCGCCTCCACCTCTCCCTCCTCATAGTCCCACACCTGGAACCGAGAGCCATCTGCTGCTCCCCGGATCATGGCCGAAAGCACTGGAAAGGGCAGGGAAAGGTGGAGCTGCCTCCCATCCCCACCCTCACAGCTCCCTTCCCCCTTCCCTGTTGAGGGAGGCTCGGTGCTCAGAGCCCACCAGGCAAGGAGCTGAGGGCTGGGTCCACAGAAAGCCAGGAGGGAGGCTTGGGGTGCTCACCGCGGCCAGACTGCGGGCGGAACAGGCATAGGATCCGCTTGTTGAAGGCCACAGCCCGGCCCAGCTCATAGCCTACACCCAGGGATGGCTGTGTCACTTCTGCCACGACCACTGGGAAGAAAGACGAGAGGAAGCCTCAGCATTGGGGGCACTTGGGGTTCATAAGGAAGATGGCGATGTGGCTGTGGTGAGGAGGGAACTCTGGGAGTCCCTTCTAGGTGTGGAGGCTGGGATGTCCAGGGGAACCCAGCACTCCAGAAGAGTTAGGTGCTGGAAGGAGGGAGCGCCACTCACCATCTGCCTCCTGCAGCCACGCCAGGTCCCGCTCATGGATGAGCCTGTCACCCCCAGCAGCCTCTTCCCCTGTGTTGAGGGAAAGCTGGTCAGGGACATGCCTCATGCTGGCTCCTCGTAACTCCTATGCCCTTGCATGTCTATACGCACCCTGCTTAGGGAGGGCGAGAGCCTTGTGCTAGATGACCTGACCCAACATGACGATCTCGTCAAAGCAGCGAGGAAATGAAATAGCCACAAAAAGAAAAATTCAGCCCTGTGCAAGGTGGGATGTGTGTGATTAGGGCCAAATGAGAACATGGGCAGCACATGAGAGTGATTAGGGAAAGGTGCATGGGCACTTAGCCAAAAGTAGGAGAGGCATCCTGGGCCCAGAAGGTAGGGATCTCAGGTCCTAGCTTGATTAAATGTTATCTTCCAGGACGGTGAGGCTCAGCCCACCACATCAGGTTAGGACCACTGGGGAGCTTGTTAGAAGTACAGATTCCAGGGCCAGGCATGGTGGCTCATGCCTGCAATCCCAGCACTTTGGGAGGCTGAGGCGGGTGGATCACTTGAGGTCAGGAGTTCAAGACCAGCCTGGTCAACATGGTGAAACCCCGTCTCTACTAAACATACAAAAATTAGCTGGGCATGATGGTGCACACCTGTAATCCCAGCAACTCGGGAGGCTGGAGCAGGAGAATCATTTGAACCCAGGAGGCGGAGGTTGCAATGAGCCGAGATTATACCACTGCACTCCAGCCTGGGCAAAGAGCAAAACTCTGTCTCAAAAAAAAAAAAAAAAAAAAGTACAGATTCGGGCCGGGTGCAGTGGCTCATGCCTGTAATCCTGGCACTTTGGGAGGCCAAGGCAGTAGGCTCACAAGGTCAGGAGTTCGAGACCAGTCTGGCCAACATGGTGAAACCCCATCTCTACTAAAAATTAAAAAATTAGCCAGGCGTGGTGGCAGGTACCTGTAATACCAGCTACTTGGGAGGCTGAGGCAGGAGAATTGCTTGAACCTGGGAGGTGGAGGTTGCAGTGAGCGGAGATCACTCCACTGCACTCCAGCCTAGGCCACACAGCAAGACTGTTGTCTTGGGGGGGAAAAGAAAGTACAGATTCGAAGGCTTTATCCCAGATGATCAGAACCTGCATTTTTAACAGGCTCCCTCAGATAACACTAAAGACCTGGAGAGCCACCAGGCAGTCTGGATATACCATGAACTAATGAGCTATAAGCTTCAGGGTCCTCCACTTGCATAGGCCCTTTCCAAACCATCAGCAACTTTGTATTGTGATTTTTGTCTTTTTAAAGAGGTCTCCCAGAACTGCATGAGGTCCCACAAATTGTGGGTCTGCTCTTGGGTAGGGTAAGTGGAAACCACTTAAGGTTTTCTTAGCAGAAGCACAAGCATTCAAGACACAATTTTCAAACTGGAAGGATCTGCAAGATTCCAGACCAGCACATCAAAGTATGCTTTAGAGAAATCCAGCCAGACTCAGTGGCTCATGTCTGTAATCCCAACACTTTGGGAGGCCAAGGCAGGCAGATCACTTGGGCTCAGAAGTTCAAGACCAGCCTGGCCAACATGGCAAAATCCCGTCCCTATAAAAATACAGAAATTAACCAGGTGTGGTGGTGCACACCTGTAGTCCCAGCTACTTGGGAGGCTGAGGTGGGAGGATCACTCAAACCTGGGAGGCAGAGGTTGGCAGTGAGCTGAGATTTTGCCACTGCACTCCAGCATGGGTAATGGAACAAGACTGTTTCCAAATAAATAAATAAATGGAAAAAAGGAAAAACAAAAACCCAGCAGCCAGGAGCAGAACACAATAACAGCCTGAAAGAGAACATGAGGCCAGCGTGGGGGCTCATGCCTATAGTGCCAGCACTTCAGGAGGCCCAAGGCACCGGAGGATCACTTGAGGCTAGGAGGTCAGGACCAGACTGGGTAACACAGTGAGACTCCTGATCTCTACAGAAAAATTTTGAAAATTAGCCAGGCATGGTGTCGTGCCCCTGCAGCCATTGCTAATAGGAGGCTGAGGCTGGAGGATCGTGAGTCTAGAAGGCCGAGGCTGCAGTGAGCTATGATCACACCACTGCACTCCAGCCTGGGCGGCAGAGAGGCCCTTGTATCAACAAAACAAAAACGTGAGAGAGAGTAATAGCGAGAACTGGGGTCAGCTGGGTCTAAGAGAGTGCTGATGTCTTCACAGAAAAAGGAGAGGCAGGCGCTGGGCGGTGGCTCATGCCTGTAATCCCAGCACTTTGGGAAGCCGAGGAGGGCGGATCACCTGAGGTCAGGAGTTCGAAACGAGCCTGACCAATATGGTGAAACCCCGTCTCTACTAAAAGTACAAAATGTAGCCGGGTGTGGTGGTGCGTGCCTGTAGTCCCAGCTACTCGGGAGGCTGAGGCAAGAGAATCGCTTAAACCCGGGAGGCGGAGGTTGCAGTGAGCTGAGATCGTTCAACTGCACTCCAGCCTGGGCGACAGAGTGAGATTCCGTCTCAAAAACAAAACAAAACAAAACAAAACTTGGTGGGGAGGCAGGAGGATACCTTTCGTGTTGGGTGGTGGAAAAGATTCCAGCGGGTGAAGTGGGAACTGAGCCCAGGCAAAGCAGCCCAATCCACCTTCTTTCTCTTGCACCCTACAAACGCTCTGAAAGCAGCTGAAGACAGAGTTCTCCAAGAAGGAACCAAAGGTCAAGATAATGCTGAGAATGCCTTACACCCGCAGGCTTGCTGGGACCCACGCAGTCCGAGCCCCGGCCAGTTTCCTTCTCGGACTGGGGCGCTGGATGGAGCACCGGGGTAGGAGGGCGGGCTCCTGGCGCCGGGAGCGCAGCTGCCGCGGTATCAGGCCGGGACCCCGCCAGCCCAGCCAGGCTTCCGCCCGCGTCCCCGCAGCCCGCGTCCCCAGGGCCTCACCGCGCGCGCCCAGCTCGGCGGCCGCCACGTGCTCGGTGAGCACTGTCCCGAATCGCCGCAGCCGAGACACGATCCGCTCGTACAGCGTCCTGTCCTCGCGTCCGCCGCGAATGCTCCCGCAGAAGTACAGGGCCGGGCGGCCAGACTCCCCCAGCTCCCCACTCTTGCTGCGCCCCCGCACCCCGGCAGCAGCCATTCCCCAGCCGCCCGCGCTCTCCCGCGCCAGGGGGCGCCAGCCCGCGGCCACGTGACCCCGCCCGGCCCAGCGCAGAGATCGGCTGCTGAGTCCACACCTGTGGAATGGGGAAGACGAACTGGGAGGATCCAACCGGGACCCTCTCTGAAACACACCCTTCCCGGACTTGACGTTCGGATGCCTAATACGCACCTTAACTTGACCTTGTCCAAGCAGAACTTCCCCACCTCACCAGCTTCTGCTCCCCGCCTCCCCGCCGTCTTTCCCAGTTGCATCCTCCCAGCTGCTCAGGCCCAAGACCCTCGGAGTCATCTGGATCGTTCCCTTTCTCTCAAACTCTGCGTCCCATCCATTGGCAACTCGTGTAGATTCCTCCTTCCAAATCTGAAATCTCACCACCACCTACAGGGCCACTACGCTGGTCTAAGCCTCCTCCCGGCTCTCCACAGCCTCCTAACAGGTCTCCCCATGTCCCGAGCTGCCCAAGGTCATACAGAACCAGGTCCACCCACCTTTATGTCTACCCATAAGGTCGGGTTTTTATTGATGCTATTTCAATCACAAAAGTTAGGCACCACATGGAGTTCCCAAGAAGGCAGTTCTTCTTAGGACCACCTGTTCACTTGGTAGTCAGAGCCGTGGGCATGCAGGCTGGAGCCACTCCACAGGTCAGACTGTCTTGCAAACCACACATAGTATTATATGTAAGGATATAAGGATATAAATGTTACAGATGAAAATTTCACATCAAACACAGGAACATTTAACATCAAGAGAAAAGGGGTTAACGAACCAGTCCAAGGAGAGTGTTATGGACAGAGTCCTGGCCTGATGGGGATAGTCGTCAAGGGCTTGCAAGGAAGAGTCCTTGATTTGAGCAGAGCCTTCAGAGGCAGACACCAGGTGCTGGTCACAAGTGATAGCAAGACTCAGTCTGTTAAGGTGGCGGTGTCTAGCTGCTGAAGTCCTGCTCATTTTATGGCCCTTGAGTCCTCTGATGAGGACTTATAGTAAAGGGCGATGCCCTTATCTGATTGGGTGTTGTCTCCATTGGTTAGGTGAACATCTGGACCCTATTGGCTTGATGCCTTTTGAAATGTAAGATGGAGTTTTTAAAAACTTTATTTATTTATTATTTTTTGGGACAAGGTGCCTGTCGCCCACACTGGAGTGCAGAGGCACGATCATTGCTCACTGCAGTCTCACGATCATTGCTCACTGTAGCCTCAAACTCGTGGGTTCAAGGAATCCTCCCACCTCAGCTTCCTGAGTAGCTAGGACTACAGGCACATACCACCATGCTGAGCTAATTAAAAAAAAAAAAAAATTGGCCGAGCACTGTGGCTCACGCCTGTAATCCCAGCACTCTGGGAGGCCGACATGGGCAGATCACGAGGTCAGGTGATCGAAACCATCCTGGCTAACGCAGTGAAACCCCATCTCTACTAAAAATACAAAAAGTTAGCTGGGCATGATGGCACACACCTATAGTGCCAGCTACCCCAGAGTCTGAGGCTGGAGAATCGCTTGAACCCGGGAGGCAGAGGTTGCAGTGAGCCGAGATCACACCACTGCACTCCAGCCTGGGCAACAGAGTGAGACTCCATCTCAAAAAAAAAAAAAAAAAAAAAAGGTGTAGAGATGAGGTCTTACTATGTTTCCAGGACTGGTCTCAAAACTCCTAGGCCCAAACAATCCCCCACCTCAGCCTCCCAAAGTGCTGGGATTACAGGCATGAGCGAATGCGCCCAGTGATGGAGTCTTTTTCTAAGATGGAATTACTTATGTCAAGGGTTCTCTATACACCTCTCTTACCCTTCCCTGCTACAGTCTGCTCTCCACTCAGCAGCTAGAGTGATGTGGGTCAAGACCTTCCTCTGCTCAAAACCCTCCAATGGTTCCCATCTCACTTGGGGTAAAAACTGAAAACCCCACAGTAGCTCACAAGGCTCCAGATGATCCTACCACCCTCTTACCTCCCTAACTCCAGTTCCTATTATTTTCATTCTCTTCTCTGCCACCTCACTGGCTTGCTGGCTGTTCCTTAAGCATGTCAGCCATGCCCTTGCGTCAGAGTCTTTGCATTTGCTGTTCCCTCTGCCTGTAACCCTGTTCTCCCAGGTAGCTTCCTGGCTCACTCCTCATTTCCTTCAAGTCTTTGTTGACACTTTACCTTCCCTGACCACCCTATTCAATATGGCAGCCCTCCATCCGCCAGTTCTCTCTATCACCCTTCCCTACCTTGCCTTTTCTCCTTCTCATGCACCATATAACTTATTAATTATGTTGCATGTTTTTCTATACCCAGTAGAAGGTTGTTCACTGCTGTATTCCTGCATTCGTTCCCTTTCTCTTTCTTTCTTTCCTTCTTTCTTCTTCCTTCCTTTCTTTCCTTCTTTCTTTCCTTTCTTTCTTTTCCTTCCTTTCCTCCTTCCTCTCTCTCTCTCTCCCTTTCCTTCCCTCCCTCTCTCTTTTCTCTTTCTTCTTTTCTTTTTCTTTCTTTCTTTCTCTTCCTTCCTTCCTTCCTTCCTTCCTTCCATCCTTCCTTCCTCCCTCCCTCCCTCCCTCCCTTCCTTCTTTCTTCCTTTTTTTCTTTCTTCTCTTTCTTTCTTTTCTTTCTTTCCTTTTCTTTATTAAGAGATGGTGTCTTGCTTGGTCACCCAGGCTTGAGTGCAGTGTCATGGTCACAGCTCACTGCAGCCTCAAATTCTTGGGCTCAAGCAATGCTCCCTTCTCATCCTCCTGAATAGCTGGGACTGCAGGCGAGTGCCACCATGCCTGGCTAATTTTTTGTAGAAATGGGGTCTCACTATGTTGCCCAGGCTTATCTTAAACTTCTGGGCTCAAGTGATCCTCCCACCTCAGCCTCCCAAAGTACTGGGATTACAGGTGTGAGCCACTGTGCCTAGCCTATCCCCAGTTTCTAGAACTATGCCTGGCACATAAGAAACATTTATTAAACGTTTGTTGAATGAATGAGTGGTTTAAATGAGAGGATGAATTTCACAGCACTTCGTAGTCTGCTCAGCCCTATAGTAAGTACGTTGATAGAGGCAGTATATTCAGGGAGACAGGCAAGCACTCATTGTTCACCAATACTGATTTCACCCTCATTTTATTATGACAATCACAAATATATGACAAAACCTTCAAATGGAATGAGATAGTACGCAGTGGAAAGAACCTGAGACCCCAGCCCCACTCCCCCGAGGAAAGCTCCATCAGTGTTTTCTTCCGTATTCTTCCTGAAAGATAACTATTAAAGTACTGAAGTGTGCCATTGCAGAGAAGATGCAGCAATATGTATATTTTTAATGCTAAGATACAAAGGGGAGACAGAGATTTCAGAGTATTTCTGCCCACTGCTGTGCTGGGCCCAGCTATGTATACACAGACCATGGGGCAAACATGAAGACATAGCTGCACACCTGTCCCTCCCCCACCGGGTGCCCTCTCTCACGCACGCACAAACATGCATACACAGATTAGGAAGGAGGCCTCAGGTGCCAGCAGACTTGACAGGCAACCTCCCCAACACTCCTTATCCTCCTCACTCACACCTTCCCTCCAGTTCCCCCCAAAGACAAGGAACACACATGCACAGACACACACACACACACACACCATCTTGTTTCTGCCTCTGTATCTTTTTTTTTTTTTTTTTAAGAAAGAGAGTTTCACTCTTGTTGCCCAGGCTGGAGTACAGTGGTGCGATCTCAGCTCACAGCAACCTCCGCCTCCTGGGTTCAAGCAATTCTCCTGCCTTAGCCTCTGAGTAGCTGGGATTACAGGCATGTGCCACCACGCCCGGCTAATTTTTGTATTTTTAGTAGAGACGGGGTTTCACCCAAAGTGCTGGGATTACAGGCATAAGCCACTGTGCCTGGCCCCAGGAGGCCAGTCTCAATTCCGTTACTATCTCTGTGACCTTGGTCAGGTCCCTTAAACTCTCCAAGTCTGTTTCCTCATTCATGAAATTGGTAAGAAATGTTATCCTACCTTACTCACCTGGTTTGAGCATAGTGCAGTGAAGCATGTGAAGGCACATTAGAAAATATAGGCTAGGTGCGGTGGCTCACACCTGTAATTCCAGCACTTTGGGAGGCCAAGGCAGGTGTAGTGAGTGAGATAGCGCCACTGCACTCCAGCCTGGGAGACAACAGCGAAATTCGTCTGAAAAAAAAAAGAAAAAAGAAAACACAAAGTACTCAGGGGGTTTTTAGGGTGGTGAAATTACCCTGTATGATCCTATAATGGTGGGTACATGTCATTATATATTTGTCCAAACCCATAGAGTGTACAACATGAAGAGTGAACCCTAATGTAGTCTATGGACTTTGTATGATAATGATGGTCAATGTAGGTTCATCAGTCGTAACAAATGTACCGCTTCAGTGGGGATGTTGATAATGGCGGAGGCTGTGCATTTGTGGAAGCAGAGGTGTGTGGGAACTCTCTGTACCTTCTGCTCAGTATTGCTGTGAACCTAAAACTGCTCTAAAAAATAAAGTCCTTTTAAAAATAAAGTGCTATACAAATGTAAGTCATTGTTCAATTAAACAAAAATTATTTTATTATGGAAAATGTCAAATTTATATGCTGATACAGAGAATAGCTAAAGACTACATATATGATTCTATTTGACATGTCTAGAAAAGGCATGTTTGGTGAGACAGAAAGCAGACCAGTTGTTGCCTAAGGCTGGGGGTGGGAGCAGGAATTGCCTGCAGAGGGCACGAGAAAACATTCTGGAAGTGACAGAAAGGTTCTTTTTATTTTTTTGAGACAGGGTTTCACTCTGTCACCCAGGCTAGAGTGCAGTGGCACCATCATGGCATCACAGCTCACTACAGCCTCGACCCCTCAAGTGATCCTCCCACCTCAGCCTCCGAAGTAGCTGGGACTACAGGCAGGTGCCACCACACCTGGCCAAGTTTTGTTGGCAGGCTTGGGTGCTTCTATGAGTTTGCCCATTATACATCCTTCATATGAGTTTTGTCCTTCTGTGACAGGCTTATTTCCCCATAATGCCCTCCAGGTTCATTCATGTCTGATTTCAAAATATATTATTAAGCTACAGTAGGCCGGGCATTGTGGCTCATGCCTTTAATCACAGCACTTTGGGAGGCTGAGGTGGAAGGATTAATTGAGCCCAGCAGTTTGAGACCAGCCTGGGCAACAAGGAGGACCCCACCTCTACAAAAAATTTAAAAAATTAGCTGGATGTGGTGGCACTACGTGTGTGTATGTTTGTGTGTGTGTGTGTGTGTGTGTGTGTATAATGGAATATTAAACAGTCTTTAAAAAGAAGGAGGCCGGGCGCAGTGGCTCAAGCCTGTAATCCCAGCACTTTGGGAGGCCGAGACGGGCAGATCACGAGGTCAGGAGATTGAGACCATCCTGGCTGACACGGTGAAACCCCGTCTCTACTAAAAAATACAAA